ATTGTAGGAAACCCTGTGCACTCCACCCTGTGAAATCCAGGGTGCATAGTATATGATTCACAAAATTTCCTGGTTGCCCAAGAGCAAAGGTAAGGCTTCAGGGGCCACCAGGCTCTGCTAGAGTACAGTCCTGATGAGGAAATGAGTCAACACTGGATCAGACAGATCTGTAAGAAACACATCTCCCTAAAATTGACACCTAGAATTGGTCTCTGCTATTCATTAGTCATGCTATAATCTCTTGAAACAACTTTCTAAGATGGATACTAATGTAACAGAGTTCTCCTGTTGGCATAATTGACTTTATACCCCTTTTAATTATAACCTGCATTCTTGCAAGTGCAACCTTCTTTTAATACCACTTGAGATGCCAACCAGTAACACTCAGTTAACTCTCCTGTGGAGTGTTTGAAGTAATCCATAGAAAAATTGATAAACACAGTTCACAGGGCTCAAAGAAAGTCATTTCAACTCGTCTGGGACAAGGAGAGCTCTTTTTGCGCAAGTTACCTTTATTTAATTTTTAGCCCAACTTGTCTGATGGCCAAGGGTACAGACAAGTCATCTGGTAACTAAATCATTGCCTTCTGTAAGGCAAGCAAGCAATGGCCCTGGACAAGCAAAATGTGCCAGAGGTGCCCATCAGAAGGACAAGCTGGAAAGACAACTTGCCCTTATAGGCATGATCAATGCCTGCCTTGGCAACTTTCTGGCTAAAACCAGTTATTAAGAAATTAATAGTTTCTTTTAGCCTTAAAAAAATACAAGAGTTGAATACTCACTGTAAATTTCACAGATGCAAACTGATCATCTTTTTTGACTTTAAAACCTGTATGCCCACAAAAAAATTAGTTTTGCATAAACTGGTTTCTCATTTTAATTCAAAAGGTTCCCTGCAGTTAGAAAGAATGAATTGACCAAAACACATCACCTGTGGTAGGAGCTTTTAATGGCAAGTTACTGACTTCTGTTAAAGGACCCCTGTTGAAACAATTTAATTACCGTAAATGACCTAATAAACGCCCGGGACATGTACTTATTAATAATTTTAAGGGTCCAGGGTGGGGGGGGTGTTTAATAGATAGGAGGCATTTAAAAGAGAGGGGTGTTTATTCTCAGGACATTAACAAACTCAACCAAACTAATAACCTTTGGGGCAAAAATATTAGGAGAGTTTAAGAGTAGCGGAATATCCACCCTAACAATTGATACAACATGTATGTCTAGGCCACCTAGAGATCCATATCTCTCTTTCAAATTCCAACATTGATGCCAGAATCCTTGCTCAGGGTTATAGTGATGCCATTGTTAGTCTATCCCTACTTTTAACTTCAGTCGACATTGAACAAGAGGAAATACGCAAAGCCTTGTTAATCAAGCAAAAAACTGAATGAATTGAATGATTTTGCTAATTCCTAGTTAGCAGTATTTTGGAGTACACTTTAATTCACATAGGGAGCGTATATTAGACGGGGGGCATTTTTTAGAGAAGGGCTTCTAATACAATTTTAGCAGCGTAAAGGGGGGCGGGGGGAAGTTTATTAGATAAGAGGCATTTATTTAGAAAGGGGCATTTATTAGGTCATTTACATGTACAGTATGTCAATATCATTACTGATACTATTCTAATGCTAGATAAAGTCAGTACGATAAAGTGTTCTGAATCCTAACCTGAAGTTACTGTACAGGTGTAGTTTGATTCTTAATTAAAGACTGGCAAGTGTAACAGATACCTTAGAGTTATAAGTACATAATAAGGCCATTTATACGAGGAAAAATAAGACGCGTCTTAAATGAGACGCGAACTGTACCATTTATATGTTCATGTCTTAAGACACATCTTAGCTAAGCCGCGTCTTATTTTAGACGAAATGTGCCGTTTATACGGAAAGTTCGTGTCTTATTTAAGACGCGTCTTATGTAAGACGCGTCTTATTTTTCCTCGTATAAATGGCCCTAATGTATCATTCAAATTTATCATTGTTCTGTATGTATTCAATTTTAATTGGATGGCCAAGTCTACATGTATGTTTTTTTGTTTCCTCACTGGTTTATTATTTATTGTTAAACATTGTACATGTATATCCTTGGTAAAGGATGTTTGTAAAAATCAAGAAAAAATTGGAAAATGGAAACCGAATAAATTGAACCACAAACCTACTCTACTTTAAATAATTCAGTTACTTTAAAAAAGGGCTTCCTTTTGCCAATAATAACAACAACGACAATAATAATAATAATAATAATAATAAATTATTTTATTTTTTAATTAGAAAGGAAAAAAACCAACATGATGTAAATGAAACAAAATACATCTATAGTCAAATTGTGATAAAAGTTACCTAACAGCCATGTCGGATGCCGTATTTAAAATTGACTTTGTCATTTCACTCACAAAATCAGATGCCTAGACAAAAGCAAATTAATTTATTATTAGTTATTATTTATTTCTCATTGTAAAATAGTAATGAGACTACTTATACAGTGACATTAAATGCGACCTCTAAACTAACAAATAAATAAACAAAAGACTTTAAGTGTATGACTTGCCCATTTCAACCCTCCAAGTTAAGGGAGACTTTTTACAAATCAAGATGCCACCTCCAAAATGTTAGGCGCCATGGCGACCAAAATGGTCGCAGCTTGGAGAGTTGCATTTTCAAAACAATTAGTGCCTTTACACTGTGTACTGGTAACAGTCACTGTCACAGTGTCACAGTCACAGTGTATGGTGAGTCCTGGGACTCAACTTGTGAAAAATCATGAGTCCCAGTCCAGAACCATAATTGAGTCCCAGTTCAAAAAACAAGTCCCTGGGTCTTTTTTTATGTAACCACACAGTTGATCTAAATACAGACTCCAAAACTCTGTATTACAGTTTACTGAAATAAATATTAAATAACAGATATTAAAACACACTCCTTCCATTGTCAAGCACAGCAAAGACTAAAAGAAATATGCACTGTTAAACAACAGCTGCAAGAACCGCCACAGAAATCACACAAACAGGATGTTCCACAAAAACATAATTTGATCTTATGATCAATCAATCGATCTTTGTGTCCTACAGGATGTATACCACAAATTATTTTGCATCTTTGGGGATTTTTATGTGCCAGGGATGCAGGACACAGAGGGATAAACAAAATCACTGGGTAAGGTCAAATCAATTAGGTTTAGTCTTGATTTCAAGCCACTTCAGGGACCTTGGTTTGCCTTAATCATGGCTGTGCTCAAAGAAAAATAATTGGGAGGTCTACCAAAACTCTACATTCTTGAAATCCAAGGTGCTCAGCATATATGACTAGCTATATGCATGTGAGTTTGGTGCAAAAACTTAAGCCCAAGGGCAAAAGTAAGTTTCCAGGGGCCCACCGGCTCTGCTAAATTAATTAAAATGAAATTGAAAATTGAAAAAAATAAAAATAATAAATAATGTGAACATACCTCTGTAAAGGCATTATCATTCACTTTACCACCCTCAGCTGAAACAAATGGACACAATCAAGAAACCTTTTGCAATTTGAGATTCAAGATAAATCTCATATTTCTTTGAAATATTGAAAATCTAGTACATGATAGTTTCACTCATGATGAATTTCATTCAAGTGGGCAACAATCAGGACTTTTTTGGGGGTGCGTTCCTTTGGGATATCCGGATCAGGATCAGTGATCCGAGATCACTCGGATCATGGTAGATCAAATGAACCGATGAATCCACTCTGGACAAGGTTTGATCTACCATGATCCAAATGATCTTGGATCACTCATCGTAATCCAGATCATATCAAAGAAACGCATCCTTGGTTTGAAGAACTGAACCATGAAACAATGCATGCAAAAATTATAATCTAACAAAACATGAACTGACCTTAGTTAAATAGAAATGAGTGTACATACCCAAATAATCGCTCAATTTCATCTTTCTTATGTCCTGTTAGCATGAACCAGAAAGTAGGTATCAAAAATAAAACTACCAAGATTACAGTGTGTTCCTCTCAAGTCACAAGAGCACTCATTTTTACCAGCCAATGCCATATGAGGCATTAATTTTACTATTCCATGAAACTAACTGAGATTTGTCACTAAGAGCAGTCTTTCATGAACTGAGACTGAAATTATCTGGTAACACTAATAATCAGGTTTTTACTGTCAGAGTATTACAGAGGTGGGCATTCAACTCAAACTTCAAGTCAACAGTTCTGAAACCAGGATGGGGATTTTATGGGAAAAATCTCTTTTTTCCCCAAAAATATGGACATCCACGAGACACCCAGTCTCTCACTGCACCCAAACATTTCTCGGGGAGGAATGCATGACAAAGACCTATTAAGAGCATATGTGATAACAGGAGTTTTTTTCCATCAAAAGTCTGTAATTTATTTCTGCCAGGGAAGCATGATCTCGAAATGATGTTATGCGTGGAAATATTGCTTTAAAAGTCGTCTAGATCCTGTTTATCTATCTAAATTAATCAAATTAATACATTCTATCATTAAAGCTTATAACTTACCATAGGAAGTTTAAGGATCTCCAGAGAAAAGGCCCCCTTCACTTTGCAGATCATATCATAACCTCTAGCTTTCATCTTTTTTATTCTCTCTTCCACTGTGGACGGAAAGAGAGACGAAAATGTAACATACTTTCTTTCAACGTGTTTAAAACTTTAAGATCAAGAAAGAACCTTGTGTGTTTAAATCTTTCAAATAAACGTCCAGTTTTGCTCGGCGCTCATCAGTGTTCATTGACGTATCTAGTTCGCCTTCAGGCAGCATCGGTCGCATACGATTCGCATTCTTCCTGGTCTTTTTTCTTCGAGGCATTTTGCTTCAACCAAAACGGAAGAAGAATGCGATGTTTCAATAATTTTCAAAGCTTTTTTTAATCAAAACAACGAACTCAAAGCCCGCCAGTTTGAATTCAAAAGTAGCGCCGCAGTTTCGTGAGCCTGCGATCCTATTTAGATTTCTTGCGTGGCTACCTAGTATGCCAGGTTACAAAGTCGTCCTTCCGAAACCATCTTGTTCTTCAAAAAGAATATCTTTCTTTCAGGACTTTATTTCTAGGAAATGACTTTATTTCATTTTGGAAACTGCGTAGCCTTAGCATACTTTCCTTACTTCATTGTTTACAAATGTTCTGGACTGTAAGTTTGCAGGAATTTCAGTATGATATTATGTTCAAGAAGAATGGGCGGTTGCGTGAGAGTCGCGTGTTCCTCGATCGATGTTTGATAAAGCAATGAATTTTGTCTTTCTTTTTCTGGATCGTAGCTCTGAGTACAGTGCCTTTTGGAGATGTGTGAAGGCAGGAGCCGCTTACTTGGTTACTCAACTTTGTAAGGTAAAAAGAAAGGCCAAACTATTTCACACTTCATTTTAAGGTGGCTCGACCCAGTATTTTTAGCGACACCTTCCATGTTTGAATCTCTTATACTTAAACAAATTGATCTTTACTGTAAAACCCATTACAACACATGTATTACACATAGATTAAACTTTATTATGATATTATTTTTTGGGCGATCGGAATAAATATCACGTAAGTATAAGAGATTCAAATATGGAAGGTGTCGCGAGCCACCTTAATTTGACCCTATAAACTCTGCTGAAACTACAGAAGACAACAATTTATAATTTTATGGCAAATTTAACTATGAAAAAAATTTACAGTATTTTCTATTTTTCAAAAAGGAGAGCAGTGAAACAATAACGGACCCTTCCAGATTTTTTTTTTCAACTTTTCATATTGATTAGATACAAGTGTAGAGAAACTTGCAAGTTTGTGCCCCCAGTGTACAAAGTAATGTCTTTAAAATAATTTATCATTAATTTTTATGACTTGTTACAGCCAAATCTTGGCACATTTCTGACAGAGAAATGTTAAGTGAGAAACAATTATTTTTAGACAATTTTTCCAGAAAATTACCAATGTACTGTATGTTTCCTGACTGCTCCTTTTCCTAAAGTTCAGTGTGACTATGTACCTGTTGTGGTTCATTTTTCATCCTTGGTTTAAATTTTATTTCCCCTTCTTTTTAAACTCATTGTCATATGTCATTGCCATATGTACCTCAAAACAAAGGGAAATAAAATTTAAACCAAGAATAAAATTAAACCACAAGATATCCATGTATTTCGTAGGCAGCAAAAAAAAATTGAAGAGCGCCCATTATGAAATCCAGGATATCCAGCCTGTATTTTTTTATGTTACCTTGAATCTCCATAAGACAGAAACCTCTCTAAGACAGACAGTAGGGGCCAGTCCTGAAGGTGTCTGTCTTATTGAGCTAGTTGACTGTATTGAAAGTGGCAAGGTATTCTTTAGTTATTACAATGTATTTTGGATGAACAAGAGGTGTGTGACAGCTTTAAATGTTTCTTTTTTTCAGATGTTGGTTCTTGCAACATTTTTTCCCACATCAGATGTATCTCCAGGATACATGGACTTCATGGGGGTATGTTGTTTCCCTTTTGGAAGAATGTACAAGTAGTCTTTCAATAAATTTAAGCCATTGCATACAATTTGATTTTAATTAATTAAAACCACGGCATCATGACTACAGTCCAACCCAGCTTTGGGGACACCAGCTTAATATGGGCACCTCATGTTTATGGACAGTTTGCTTCGTCTCTGGGAAAAAAAAGGCCTTTACATTTTTTCTTTAAATTCAACCCGCTTAATACGGACACCCCATGAATATAGACACTTTCTATGGCCCCCTCAGTGTCTGTATTAACAAGGTTTGACTGTACCTTGTTGTTGTATCTACAGTTGAACCCCGCTATTTCGAAGTCCCAAGGAAAATGGAAAAAAGTTCGAAATAGCGGGGTTTCAAAATAACCGGAGAAGCGTAAAATTGGTAACAATGAATCTTTTTTTAATACAGTACTGTAATACAGTACTGTATGAAGAAAGACACTGATTAAATAAAAATACGGTAATTATATGTCGGATAAATCAGCGGATGCTGTTGCATTGAAAAATCTTTGAATGTTCTGTTCGAGCTTAAATAAAATGCAATACGTTTCCAGCTGTGCTCTTATGTACGTACTCCGTTTTTGACAAGTTTGAAATAACTGGGTTGATTTAAGGTGTAGGGAAAGAACGATGAGTTCGAAATAGCAGGGAATTCGAAATAACCGAGTTCAAAATAACTGATAGTAAATGACTGAAAACATAAGGGTAAATGCAAGGGAATTCGATCTTCCTTCAAAATAGTCAAAATAGCGGGGACTTCGAATTAACCAAGTTCTAAACAGCGGGGTTCGACTGTATTTAGAACCATTTTTTACAGCCTATGGGTGACCTAAATGGTCATAGTTTAACCCCTCACATCTGCTATCATTAAATTTATTTTCCTACATTCGAAACTTTGCTTAGGATTGCTGTAGAAAAGTTATTAAACTCACTAATAGTTTTTCTTATTTATCGTTTTAGGAGTTTCTACGATCCACAGTAGACATAGCAGATCTTGTTGGTCTTCATCTGGTGATGACCAGAATTGCTGGAAAGGGTGAACTGAAAGTGTTGGTGGCAGGAGTAGGTATGATCAGGGTTCTTAATAAGAGCCAACGGCCAGCAAAATTCACCAGCTTTTTCACGTGAACTCGCTGCCTACTTTTCTTTGAAAATTACCCCCCACCCCCGCCCAAAGCCAAAAATTAATGATGTCTGTGTTCTGTTCAAACACTCTAATTTTCGCTCGAGAATGCTGGAAATGCACACTAAGAGGCCCAGATCTCAAAATTTTTCCAAAGGGCATGCTCCTGGACCCCCTAGTAACTTGCGCTTTCAGCGCTTGCAAGTCGCTTCTGTGGCGTTAATTTTCCCTTCCACGCCTACTTTAGAGCTTTTATTCCTAATTATTATGTGTCTGAATCATGAGTGGGCAAGATAAATGGAATCCTGCATTCTGATTGGCTACCAGTGTGGGCGAGATGGGGCCTTTCTTGCCCTTTCATGATTTCCATTGGTCCCACAAGGAAAACGTTGTCTTTTTGGCCTTACAATAAATCCTTTATTTACCAAGTGAGTTCGGTCATGATGGCTGAATGATAAATATCCTCGTTCTTTTTTGTGATACAATCGCAAAAAAAGAACTTGGCCAATATCCAGCCATCTTGACCTCACACTTGGTCAATAACGCATATTTACTAGCCTGAATTTCATCTGATTGCTTCGAGTCATTTTCTGCTCTCAACAACATCTGAATCGACCGGCTGTTAATGCCGCCCAGTGACATCATCACTACCCGAAAACCGGGTAGTGATTTTGATTGGTTGATTGTCTAAACATTTGCATAATTATGCATAATTATGAGAAATTTTAGTGGGATTGTCACTTGATATTCAGGGGATCATATCCCTGGTATGCTTGCGAGGAGTTCAAACATTTCAATAATCTTTATCTTGAACAGCAAAATTGCCCTCGTCTTCAAAACTGAAATGCTAAATTGAACTGCGAATGAAGAATCATTACAGAGAGTCTGTAGGTTATTCATTTAGAGCTGCTTTGTGGTTTTGGCATTGATTTTGTTTATGCGAAGTTTCTGAGACCAATGTTGTAATTCGACCTCCTAGAGCTGTTTTCACCATCAAGTGTAATGAATCTGCTAGCTCTTCTTTCTTGTTCCCTTGTATTTTCTTTGTTACTAGTAAGGACCAAATAGCTTCTTTTCAATTAAAACAAATCATTGTGTTTTTAAACCAAGTGTTCCGTGTGTGTACTTATTTCATTGCGTGATTGCAACCGAGTTTGATTATGGAATTACAACCGGTTCAGAGTACTGCATGCAGTTGATAGTGTGAATGTTAAACATGTTAAACAACTTTTTTCGATCGTAATTATTAGGATCGAAAAAAGTAAAGCCATTCTGTATCATTCAGACATTTCCAAACGATATTTCTTGGTTTGACACTTGAAAATCGTGTTTAACTTTGTGCATGAATTAAAGCAAAGGAGTAGTGACGTCACTGGACGGCATTAACAGCCAGTCGATTCAGATGTTACCGAGGGAGTAAAAACGATTCGAAGTAATCGGATGAAATTCAGGCTACATATTTACATGTTTCATATTTTCATCAAAAATTGGGTGTTTATATATTTTCAGTCAAAACTGGCAGGCTTGACCAGTCCAGTTGTGAAAAGAATTTCATTATTAGTCAGGACTATCCAGCCTAAAGCTATTCTTCTAAAATAATTTAAGGATGCCCAGTGCTCTGAAAGTGTGAAATCCATGGTGCTCAGCAGAAAATGTCTAAGGAAAACAACGACAACAACAAAAACAACAAAAACTAAGATTTCCTTGTCACCCAAGAGCAAAGGTAATTTGCCAAAATGTCGGTCATTGGGCACTGTTAGAGTGCGGCCCTGATCTAGGCAGATCAGTCTATTCCTAAATTAAGTATAGCAATGAGGGTTGGATTTTAGCCTGGCAAAACTCGTTAAAAAAAGCCTATTATTTTGCTTTTCAAAATGAATAGTCCAGCTGACTTTTGGTGAATGGTCCTCACAGTTCTTTTGGTACATAAGACATTTTCTTTTTATTTACTAGAGGTGAGGTAAAGTCTGGTTTATTTTTATTCTAATCCTGTTTAGGCTGGGCCACAGCAGAGGTGGTCATGACACGCCTTGTTCCCCTGTGGGTTGGTGCCAGAGGAGTAGAGTTTGACTGGAAGTACATACAAATGAGTTTTGATGCAAATGTCAGTCTTGTAAGTAATCAATTTGCATCAGCCCAATAATTTTATCTGTGGTTTAAATTTTATTTCTCTTTGTTTTGGGGTATTTTAATGTATGATAATGAGTTAAAAACAAAAGGAAAGAAATTATTTAAACCAAATTCAACCACAACTTCTAATTATTTTTCTATTATTTTTCAATAATTAAAAGAAATAATAACGTAGTCTACAGCATGCTTTGTTCTAATAATTTGCATCAACTAATCTTTTTAGTTAAGAAGAATACTTTCTTCAGTATCAGTCATCAATGATTACTAGTACACAATGTACTGTTCTAGGAAGCTGGGCATACATTTGACTGAGTGTGGTAACAGCTTTCCTGGCTGAAATATGGCCCTTACTCTAAAGGAAAGAGTCTTTGGGAGCCAATGGCCACAAACATCCAGATCTCTTCTGCCCTCAAATACCACCAGAAAACTGAGATAAGAAAGTGCTCTACACAAATCAACAAAATCCATAAGAAATCTTTTATACATCACTGTGATTTTTTACAAGCCTTAGGATAATGTGGAAAAAATAACAAATTAATGAAAGATTTTTATATTTTTGTTCTTTGAAACATCAATTGATGTGGAGCCTCTGAAATAGTTTATTGTAATGTTGTTGCAAAAAATAGATCTAACTACACTGTAACAGTGTCCTCTTCCAAATCTAGAAAAATCACATACCCGTTATTTGCTGCTTTTTACCCTTTTGCGGCGTTACACTCTATGACTGTGATCTCATGGAAATATCAGATAATTCAGTACTAACGATTTTTTGCACTCTACCAAGATCTCTTTGGAATTCATTTGATGCAATAGGGTAGTCATAAAATACAATACTATCTTTAATTAATGGTCACCCTGTTCTGCTATAGAGTAAAATTGATGGCTCTGTGAATTTTTACATAGGTACAGCACATCTCAACAGCAGCTTTAGTTTGGCTTTGGAGCAGGACTGATCTTCAGAAGTCCTTTCTTCCACTAGTAATGGTTTTCATGACATTAGCATGTTACAGGCCCCTTCTTATTGAGTAAGTACTGTTAGTATTCAGTTAGTGATAAAAATAATGCTAAAAAATTATTCATTTTTTTGCAAAGTACATGTAGCTTTAAAACAGGTAGAAACTTGTGAAGGGACTGCTGATGAGGTTTCCACTTCACATTTTGTTGGCAGTCAATTTTAATGTCTGAGTGGATAACTCCCACCAAAGGGAGTAAATGCATGGAATCTCGAGTTATGGAGATGCATTTGTGCAAACATATTGAACATATTTTCAGCTAAGGTACTTAAGTTTAAGAGTGATCTCAATTGAAAATGAACTAAGCCATGGCTCTGAATTTTTACAGAATTTTATAAAACGGGGGGAAAGTTTGTGGCCCCAATATATCTAATTGCATTTTGCTAACAGTGTTTATCTTCGTTTAATTTTTATTGCGACACATGATTTTTAAACTTGGAATCTTTAGTGAATTAATTTAATGTGCTCTATTCAGCATTATTGTAACTGGTCCTTGTAAAAACTCAAAGAAAAGTATGAAAGGATCTTTGGCAAGAGGATGCTATTATTCTTTGAGAGAGATCCATGACTGTATGTTAGCCCAAGAGAGATTCAAAGTTGTAATTTATTATTTTGAAAATCGTGAATGTTATTTCAGTGGCTCAAGTGTTAATTTGTAATTTTGTTTTTGTAGAGTCTTAAGTCATGTCTTTGGAATTCACTCCTGGAGCTTGCTGTTGTTAAAGGCAACCTTCACATCCTGCATTGGAATTGTAGCTCTTCAGTTGTACCTGACACTAACTAATGGCAAACAAAACAGAACATAAATGCTGCTCCTCCTCTGTATTATTTATTGACCCTTGCTTGATACTTATCAAAAAAATGTGTCAAACCATTACTATAAAGCAGTGGAAGAGATTAAAAAGCTTGACTTTCTTCAATAGACCTCTTTAGCATGTATGCTTTAGTTTCCCAATGTAGGTCATGTGATAGTACTCTGGGTAACTGCTTCATTCAAATAATTCATTGTATCCCCGTTGCATGCATAAACATAATCAGTTTTATGAAAAGGCAAAGGAGCAATTTTCTCTGAGACCTCCACTGAAATGAGAAAAAACACATACAAGCTACATGTAATGAGGTCTATTCCAGCTCTAAGAAATGACTTTTAACACTTGTATCAGTCATTTTGTTTAAGTCAAGTCTTTTTTGCCATCCCTTTCTGTGAACAACAACCTCACATAGGCGACAATAAATACTTAATAATTATCCTCCCCCCTTATGGGGCTTTTCAGGGCCAATGAACCAGTAATTCAAATGGAACAGTTGGTTTTACAAACTGATGGAAAAATGTAATGGCCTGACAGTAGGTAGCCTGCATGCAGACGATAACTAGGATAACCATTAACATTCAAGTCAGAATTGTATTGACTTAAGCTATAGATGGCAGTACTGAAATTCTATTGGAAGGATGGAAGTTAGAACCAACATGTACACCGGGTTCACAGGTGCCTAGAAAGTCCTTGAATGTCCTTAATTAAACTTTGAAATAAAAATTCACGACCTAAAAAGTATCTGGAAGGTTTTCAGTTGCTTCTAGTAAGTCCAAGAAATTTGAGGCTTACTCTGGGAGCCTGAAGCATATGTAGTGATAGCTCAATTTCAACTCTGATGGCGCTTAGCATATCTAAGGGGGTGCAGGCATGTTCCACTGGAAAGTTTTAATCTGTTGAAATCACTGGAAACACATTTAGTTCTATCAGTATTATTCATCCTGAGAAAATTTTGTCAAATTGTTATTACGGTACCATTGTTTTCTTTTAGTTTCCTGCACAACAATGTGAACATTAATTTACAGTGCAACGAAGAAAAGAAAAGTATTGTGTTTGCTTTTAACAGAAAGATTGGAAATACTGGGGTACTTTTGTAAATGCAAAAAAAAACAAACATTCCCGGCGAAATTTTTGTTGGGGTTATAGAGCACCCAGCTCCATAGCTCCTCTGTTCCTATCACAGAGCTGTTACTTCACACAACCCAGAATCTCAAGTGGCTGTAGAATACAGTGCAATAAATTAATGTTACTGGCAAAATAGCAGCAACACAAATGGTAAAAGAGAATTAAAAAAAAAAAAATGTTATTAAAAATATTATTATTGCCTCGATTTTGCATGGAGCCCTTAATTAAATAGTGCTTTTATTCTTGGTCAAAAAAGGTAGGAACCCATCCTCGTAGACCCAGGGGCAGATAGTGGGGGCGAGGGAAAGTCTAAACCGGCGGAAAAATAAGGCACGAAGAAAAGTAAAGAATGGCGAGAAGAGCCCCTGGGGACAATGTCTTACCAGACCAGTTCCAAACGGTTGCCGCCGTTCTGGCTTCTGATTGGTGCCAGAAAACTTGTGTTTTTCTGGCACCAATCAGATGGTAGGAACCCTGGGGTCTGGCACCAATCAGATGGTAGGAACCCTGGGGGCAGCTTAAAATTTAATGATCAGTATCTAAGACATCAACAGTATCACAGACAATTGAAGCATCCATATTGGTCTATTGCCTTTAACTTCCATACCTCCCCACTCCATTTGAGGAACCATGGAATTATTCAGGAGAACGTTACAAAAATTGAGGTTTTTTTAAAGGGTGGGGCTTTAATTTACGGTACATGCTGAAATATTTGTAGCCTGAGAAAACAGCCAAAATTTGGTGACTCTACCACTGGTGTCTCTGCCAAATGACGTCTGAGAAATGAGTTCAAGAATTCCATACTGATGACGAGTCACTACCCAGATCTAGGTAGTGCTTGTGATAATTTTTTGGTTGAATCAAATTTCCCAGATCTGTGTAGTGACATGTCATCAGTGTGGAATTTCTGCGTTCATTTCTGAGACGTCCTTTTGCAGGAAATCAGTGGTAGTGTCACCAGATGTTGGCTATTTTCTCAGGCTAAAATATTTGTGGTCAATCACACAGTCATCTGACTTGGTCAATTTCTCATTGTTTACTCTTTAATGTGGTGCAATCATTACTCTGTTATAAGCTGTGATAGAAATTGAGTTTGATCAGTTTTTATCAAACAAAGAAACTCACTTTGAAAAGTTTTAATGCCGCTTTTGTCGTGAAAAGCTTCATACAAAACTGTACATGATAACCGCATCTTTCATCATGGTTCACTTCACGAGGTCTAGTGCGTCATGATATGAACAGGAGAGCACAGAATTATTTTCATTGTTACTTGGCCCATAGACATTCCAGAGGCTTTGATACTCACAGTTCTTCAACCCTCTCAAGAGACGAGTCTCGTTTCGAGAGACAAGAGTCTCGTCTCTCAAGAAGGTGGTAACTTACTTTTTTAACCCTGATTCAGATTTTGCTTTCATTTGCTTTGTTTTGATGATGAAATAAGTAAAAGCAAACGAAAAGAAAATTTGAACTGGGAATAACATTGACCCCCCTCCCCTCCCCCCCTCCTCACCCTAAGTAGTTGATGCTAGGCAAGAGAAAAATACAAAACCAGTCAGGCTTTAACTGGCAGAAGCAATTTCATTGGGTTTTGTTTAACGACAGTCAAATAAGAAGGAAGACAAAATCGGACACATGTCTGCTTCTTATAAAAAAAGGTATCTACCAGGGCTGTGATTAAAAATAAGATTTATTCCAAGAAAAAGCAACAGATGTGAAAAGACAACACAATACAGAAATTTAACATTATCTTCTCTCTTTCTTGAACAAAAACACCCAAAAATTCACAATTCAAAGTGTCGTCAAGAGTTCCTGTAATTTCTTACGTCCAACACATAATTCCTCAAGTAAAGTCTACAGATGTGTTTCATCAGTCTAGCCTGGGTGATTGATCTAGTGATCCGTCTTCACTTGCCAAAGTCAAACTTGGGAAACTCCTCCAAATTTCCTTCACCGAATCTCTTTCGTATTTGCTGCTTTTCCACTTCCATTTTAGCTTTCCTCTCAGCTGTCATGTCCACTAAACTATCACCGGCAGATGTGGTCTTCTTTTTGTACTCCTGCAACTTTTCCACGAACAAATTCTGTATAGGATCAGCATTCTTCGCCGCCTTTGCCATTACTACAGCTGTCACTCCAATATTTCGTCTAAAGCTGGTCTGGAAAGAGCCAGTTGTCCGAGAAAGCAGTTGTGAACATCGGAAAATTGCTGCCATCGTGTATCACTCTGAATCCCAATATTCAAAATGGCCGACTTCGTGGTCTGTGGACTCGTTTTGAAGTGGAGGCGAAGTAGACACCAATCCCCCACGTGGATATTCTCGGTCAAGATGGCGGACACGGAGCTCGTTGTAAAAGTTGGCTCACGAAAAAGTCAGGTAAGTGCTTAAATGGCCAAACTTGATATTCTATTTTAATTTACAACACTCATGGAAGGCACGATTTTGTCAGACCCCTTTTTGGACTCCATCTATGGAAGGCATAACCTTTTAGATTTCAGATTCCGATACAGTGCTGGGGAAGAATTGCTTTGTCATTTCATATCATTATTGGTCGCCATGTGGAGGGCTTCCTTGACCGTGATGATTCCGACGCCCTCTTCACAATTTATTTCAAGGTCAATCCGCTCCGATTATTTTGTTATTTATAAATCAGTGAGGCTTATACATGTCCATGATAAATTTTGAATCACACTGTCCAATGAGTGCAACAGGTGGTCATTTTCATGCCTTTTAATAGTCATCAGGCTTCGTTATCAGCTAAATTATATTTTTCACAGGCTTAGATTTCTTATCTCATACCAAGATCTCTGTGGTATCTGTTCACAGGTATGAGATTAGGAGAATGCAGGAAATACCCTCGTTTGACATTTTGCTATATCTAGAAATGGGAATCCTGTGGTCTTACATATGCCACTGGGTAACCAATCGTTGAAATGTTCTTTATTTAGCTGATGCAATAAAGGTTACCTTGGGCATTAGGAATTGTATTGGGAAGCTATTGTTTGGTGGTCACTCGAGAAAATCACTCAAGCAAATCATTGTGAATTTACGCTCTTTTTGTCTTTACAATCACAAATATTCTTACCCGCTTACTTTATCAAATGTAGGCAAATCCAACTGGAGTTGAATTCCTAGTTGTGCTCAGTTTTCATTTCCTTATTTAAGTCTCTAACGTTACCTATAGACATACATTTTATCTATTTTTGTTCCATACAGCTGGCTCTTATTCAAACAAATGTCATAGTGGATGAATTAAAGAAGTTCTACCCTGGCAGATCTTTTGAAATTGGTTTGTAATTAAGTTGTTAGTTACCTGGTGTTATCTGTCACAAATTTTTCAAAATTCACTGCTATTACTCCTTCTTGTTCAATTAAATTGGTGAAATGATTTGAACAAATCTCTCTGGATTTGTATTCCTTTAAGGACTGTATTCAAGTTCAGAAAAAGAAAACAAAAATTGTGATTTCTTGTGCCCCATAAAACATCAATATTAGGATATTTGATGTTGTAGACATCTGGCTGAAATGTATCAGAAATTGAGCCTATATATATGGGTGCAACTGTACGTGTACCTGGGATGTTGATTTTGCCGCTCATTTTCCCTCAAGTAGTTGGTTTTTCATGTAAAATCTTTTCATATCAAGAACTGTTTCGTATGGTAATGCTTCTTAAGTGCAGTGAGCTTAGCGCACCACAGTGATGACAGGAACAAGAAAATCAAAATGCAAATAGGTTTTTGGCAGATTTCTTTGCCATCATTCCATTTCTAACATGGTCAAACTTGTTTGAGATGGCAATGCAATCGTCGCTTTATTCTCTAAGGTCGTCGCTGCATCGTCGCAACTTCGATTTCACTGGAAATACTCATACTGAGGCTTAAAAGTGTGATGCAGGTGCATTACTGATTTGCGTAATAAAACTGTTGTTAATTGAACTAGTTCTTATTGCCTTTGCGACATAGTGGTTACATAAGTTTCCAGTCACGAAGTATTGAAGTTTCCACCTTATAGAGGTGTCTGTATTATAGAGGCACTCTTTGACATGTATCTTTGGGACCAACAAAACTGTCCTTGATCGCGAGACGTGTCCATAAGGAGATGAGGTTTGACTGTGGGTTAATAGTTAATATCTTAAGAATACACCAATTGTTTTTATATAAGGATCTGAGTTTATGATGGTTTGTTTTTTTATTTCAGTTTCTATGTCAACTGTAGGAGATAATATTCTGAATAAACCACTCCCCAAGGTGAGTACCCTGCACGTACTGTACATTAATGTTGAAGATTATTTAGCAATAATTATAGGATGAGTTATGGAGAACGAGATCTGTGTAATTTTTGCATAAATTTTAATATATTACACAAGGCTACTTGCCAATATTGGTTTTTGTGCATTCAAAATATTTCCTTCCTCAAAACATACTTGTTAACCTCTGCTTTAAGTTCCACTCTTCAAACATTTGCTGTTCCTTCGTAGTTTCAGGATACAAATTTAAGGGATAGTATTTTCCTCATTATTCCAGAAGTTGTCATTTGATGAGTGTTCTTTGTCTATATTTGTGCTATGTTTTTAAGCACATTGCTGTGGCTAATTTTTGTCTTCGTCTTAAGCAATGTCCACTGCATGCATTGCTGATGTATAGGGATCAAGTAAAGGGGGTCATCTCATTCACTTGAGTGGAATGAAATTGAGAGCTTTTACTTACAGGAATTTTGTTTCCTTTATACCAAGGGTGTAATATTATTTAATAATTTCTAGAAAATTCATTTATCTAGATTGGAGAAAAAAGTGTTTTCACAAAGGAACTGGAAGTTGCTTTGGCTAACAAAAGGTTAGTTTCATTATTAGACTATACCAGGAATTGCCATGGCTTGATTGTGGTAGCCAGTTCCCTGCGGATTCTGATGTCTGAATCAGCTGGCAAAATAAGAATTTCAACATCACTAGCACAACTCGAAAGACGGTGTTTACCTTAAACTAAAGCCAGGCCTAAAATGCATGCCAGTATTTCTAAACCAAAAATGTTAGCACAATTAACATCTTTGACTCTGAAGATGACTACCACACAGGTTGTCGAAACGTCAGTCACTGTCTACAACAACAGTCCTATTCAGGCCTACATTCACCCGGACGATCAAACTCAACCTACTTTTCAAATGACTCCTGGGTTCAAACCTTTCACAATTAAAAGGAAGTTGAGTAATCTATTCAGTCCATTACATGGATACCTTGTCCCACCAAAAAGTTTAGTCTTTTGCCTTGGAAGCAGAGAATATTTCCCTGATCCTCATTCAGCAAGTCGCCATAGCTGTAAAGAATGGTGGACTCTTGCAACTTGTTTTACTATATATTAATTATTACCCTTGTGTTTTTAGTGTCCATCTTGTAGTTCATTCGTTAAAAGATCTTCCCTCCACCTTGCCTCCAGGAATGTTGATTGGAGCTGTGTTCAGGTAAGCATTAATTTTGTAGGATGCTTAGGTTGCCAAAAAAAAAAAAACTCCAGAAAATTTCTGTAAAGCTAAAAGCAAGCTGCCAGCTAATTTCACTGGTTAAAAAAGACCTTACCACCTGGTCAAATTGCTTTGTTAAACAAAAACATGGGGTAATTTTGAATGTACAGTTGGGAGGGAAATGCCTGCTTGACTAAAAAAGGCTTGCTTAGCTTCTCCTTACTTACATCCCTGCTTTAAGCCTATCTTCAATCAACACCCTGTCTAACAAGCCCATGGCCACACCCCACCCCCTCATCCCTGCTGAGGAAAAAGTCCCCCAACCCTTCCTCCTTCACTTCACTTATGAATAGGAGACTGTAATAAATAGCTTTATGTGTAGTAATATTTTTGTTGACCACAAAGGATAATTGGTTTCTATGCGCTGATCAAAGTATGGTACAATCTGTACAATATCACTCAAATCTCCATGTTGAATATGAATAAAATATTATCAATATTACCCTAATCAAGGACAGCAATTAAAGTTTCATAACCTAACACTGGTATTTCAACTTTGCTAATTAAAGAAAGGAAGCCATGCCTCAATGCATTGGCTCCTCCTTCCCATCCCTCCAACCTCAAATGTCTATATCGATATCCCCCTTTCTTCCAAGGGAAGTTAAATGAGGATTTATGATAAATAGGACTGGTTTTATTTTGAACTACTCAGACGAGATGATCCCCATGATGTAGTTGTTTTCCATCCTAAACACAAGGGATCAACTCTAGCTACATTGCCTAAAGGAAGGTAAGAATTATCTGTTTCAAAAATAATAAACACCTTGATTAAATTTTTGCTGTTGAATAATTTGCACTGTCAAGGACATTAGAGCATTGGGATGGCAAAAGGTTTGAATAATGATTTTAATTAATTTTAAAATGGAACAGTGAATTATGGGTCGTTTGACTCGCAACTGCCCAACGACCATCCAATTTACGTGGATATACCATATTATTGTTGTCACAACTCCTCTAATATCTAGTGACATTTTGGAGTACTGTAGAACCCCGACTTACAGCCACCTCAGTAGTGCATGCGGTCACCTGGTTATAATTACAGCCACTTTGTTTTGGCCCTGTGAAACGGCCATACATTTTCATATAATAAACCCTCGTTAATGTGGTCGCCCATTAATACAGCCAACCACCACATTTTAAAATCCCAAACAGTAGAGTCAACTTCAACTTGTATTGGTTTATTAAAAATAGTATTACAATAGACTGGCCCACATAAGTTGCAGACAACTTGTATCAGACAACTCCAAGACGCATTGAAGAAGCTGGTTAACCATAATGATTAATTTTTTTTCTTTGATGATCAAAATTTTTATTGACAGTGTTATTGGAACAAGTTCCTTAAGGCGGAGTGCACAGCTCAAGAGGGCATTTCCACATTTAATTATTGAAGATGTTGTATCCTTCATATTACGATGTCAAACAGTATAACTGACTCAATGACATTAGAACTATTAGGCAGATGGGTGTCTAAAGCATGTTTTGTGGAGATCCAAATAATTGTGCTTTTTCTGATGATCTAATAACATTGCAACTTTATTGACCACTGAGGGCAATATCCAGGGTTTAATACCATCAACTGACGTGATGAAATAAAATATTACATTTCACTTTGACTCTGACGACGACCATCACCCAGGTTGTCGAAACGTCAGTCACTGTCAACAACAGTCTTATTCAGTGCTATGCTAACCCGGACGATGGTATTCCACCCACTGAAGAAATGACTCCTGGGTTCAAATTTTACACAATGTGCATAGAGTTAAACAGTAAGATGCGTAGAGAAAGCGTGATTATATTACACTGATTCTTAGGCGTTTACACTGGCTCCCTATGCTTTATAGAATTATTTTTAAAATATTGCTACTGACTTATATGGCTCTAAACGGTCGAGCACCTACAACTATAGATACATCAAAGATGTATCTCGGGCCGCGTTTTACGATCTTCAAACAAGAATTTGTTTGACGAGCTCGTGGCTAAATTAAAAACCTATGGTGCTATACTGCTCCAAAATTGTGGAATAAGTTACCATTGGACATCAGGCTATCATCGTCAGTTACTTTATTTAAAACTAAGCTTAAGACATATCTGTTTACAAATTCTTTTGATGTATAATTTTTATCATTAGCCTGAATTGTATTGAATAATGTAGTTTTTTAAAATTAATTAAGAGTTATGGTTATACGGACAATTAGTGGAGTATGGCGCTATACAAATCCATTTTATCTTTATTTTTATATGAGCAGGGATAAACTAATGACTTACCTCCTAGCCCTCGTTTATAATTATTAGGATTATTTTCTTCTGTTAATTGTCCTTGACGGATTTATTCAGCGTGGAAACCTCAATACAAGATTAAGCAAACTCGATGCAGGTGATAAATACGATGCTCTTATCTTGGCTGCTGCTGGGATGGAGCGCATGGGTTGGGCGGAACGGATTGACCAGGTAATATAATTTTCCAACTCTGTGAAAACTGGCTAGAGGGCTAGACCTCCAGTTTTAAAGAGCCTATTTTTACAGAATTAGCTCAACAGCATGTCTAAGCTAAGATTGGATGCCATCCAAAATATGCCCAAGTCAGAGCGATTTTCGTGTGACCTTAAAATGAAAACGCGCGCACAAAACAGAAACAAAAAACAAACGGAAATAGAGCGATTTGATTGGTTTATCGAACAGATACAAACGCGCGTGGCTTTTCGTTGGTTAAGCGAACGCTCAGGTTAAAAAACTTCATGCCCGAGAACTCTCTAGAAATCAACTGATACTTCACTTTGACGTCATTCTACAACGCGATTGGCCAATCGAACAATGCCTTCTCCATTTTAGGGTTTTCTTTGGAGGGAAAACGAACAGGCCATGTTTTGATCTTTTCATCCATTAGCTGATAAAAAAAAATAACGAACACTTAGCGAAACCATTTTTCAAGGTCATACGAAAATCGCTCTAATAGAAGAACGAAGGAAACGTTTGCTCCAAGTTTCTGTTAAAAAGACCCACAGCCTTTCCCAGGCCATTTTAGATAGTGGAGAATCAGGCCTGTATCCAGACCAGTTTCCACTATTCTTCGGAAAACGTTCTACCACTTTAAAGCATAAGGAAATGACACTTTCTGAAGTTAAAATTTAGTAAATTTCCCTGCAATTTATGAACTTGTCTTCCTGTATCAGCACAAGTGATTGACGGTTGCGTTCTTGGAAGATGGTTATGTTTTTTCTCCTGATCTCCACCTGGCAATGGTACAAAATGGAAAGAAGCACGAAAAAAAGTGAACGAGAGAGACCTCATTGTATATTCCCCCTCTGTTCTCTTTGCACCCTCCTCGATATCTTAGCCTGCATGATTGAAATCAAGGCATGCGTAAAATTTGCAATGCGCCTTCGAGTTCGCGCTTGCGCGCGTCCTCTTTCCTTGAGGCAGAGTTCTGCCAATTTGACCCCTTTGTAGCGCCCAAATTTCTCCCTCGTCTGAGTACCATACAGGCTACCACTGTTTGAATGCCTGAAACAGAAAAAAAGAAAGAAAGAAGGACACCCATGCCTGATGCTCCAAACGTCTACGATAAAATATACTGTCACAAAATTGCTGTGTTGAAGGTACTGCTGAAACTGGATTCAATCAGATAGTTACTTGACCGTTGTTAATATTCTCGTTTAATCTCGTTTATTTAGATTCTTGGACCAGATGAGTGTTTGTATGCAGTAGGACAGGTAAGTGAGAGCTACATTTAACCGGTCCATTTACACCTCTAAAAACTCGCCTACTACTGTAGGTATAGCCTCCTCCTTAAATCCTTTCAACGTCCTCCAGGCAGGCTTCTGTAGGTAATGATATCGAACGTTCTACTAGGATAGATAACTGGTTGTGTATTCCTCGCGTGTTCCGCCAAATGGTCAGGGAGTTTAGTTTGTTATGATTTCCATCAATACATATTATTGCGGGCTCCTTTGGTCGTCCGCAATCCTAATCTCTAGGTTCCTATTACGCATGCTTGGCACGTATGTAGCCAGCGTTCTTTTGGACTTCCACTAAGAAAGAATGGAATGCATTGAATAAAATGCAATCTGGTCACGCGCGTTAGTACTTTCTATCACTCGTAATCTGATCGCGCAGGGGCACCCAACTACTGTTTTCTGTAAAATATCTGCTCGGACAAGCAAATATGACCTATAATTTTCTATATCTTGACGACGGCTAAAAATTTCTAGGTGACCATTCCATTCATGAGCAAGTTTCGAAGCTTATCTTATAAATTCCTTCTGAAGTTTAATCGTTCACATTTTACTCCCCAGGTTTTTAGTAGGTCTTTTAGTAGAAAAAGGAGACCAAAAATTTTCCGTAGAGAAAGGAATCAGAAAAATTGAATTCGTAAAATTTTAAATTGCAACTGAAATTTTCGAGAAAATAATGCTGAAGTGCTTGCTTTTTCGAAAAGTCTTAAGTTGCCCTAGGATGACCGAACAGATACAAAATTTTGTAGCGCCGCTTAGAATGCATTTCTAGGGATCTAAAAGTACTCTGGATAACCTGTAAAGTGTTTTCAATGCATTCAATGCAAGTGTTTTCGTGAGGGAACCGTGGTTGGGTGCCCCTGATCACGCTGGTTTTGTCCTTCTATAATCTATCACGTTAAACTTACGCAAAGCACCAGCGTTGGAGCAAGAGCGTTTGAACCTTCGATCAAAAGCCTAAAACACGCCCACACTCCCTAACCTTTGGTTAGTACTAGTAATTTTGTCCAATCATTAGTCAGTATTCATACAACTTGTGACAACTTAATTGATTTGCTGCAAGACAGGTTCGAACGGGGGCGGTAAAACGCGCAACATCGCGTTCAACACCTTCTGTAGTAATATTCCAAATCAAGTTGCCCGTTTTGGTTGGTCGTTTCACCGTATCGTAACTCCCGTATATCCTTTTGTTCACAGGGGGCTCTGGCAGTAGAGGTTAACCTTGAAGATTCTCAAACAATTGAGTTAGTGTCTAAGCTGATTGACAAGAAAACTAGTTTTTGCTGTGCAGCTGAGAGAAACTTCCTTAGAACTTTGGTGAGAAAATATAATTGAAGGCTTTAAGAACCTATATGTAGCTATAATATAATTAGCCAGCTAACAAGCGTTTTTTTTTTGGAGGGGGTGGGGGCGGGGGGGGGGGAGGATTTTTGAAAAGGCTTTGGAATCCAGAATACAGCTCAAGGAATTCGGAATCCCACTAATGACTGGAATCGGGAGTGCAAGTTCCACGGATAAAGAATCCAGAATCCAAGTGACTTACTGGATTTCCTTAAATTGGACGAAAAGAAAGAGCAGGAGTTCAGCATTGCCGACGTGCCTGTTTATGATCCCTTAATATCAAACGTATGACCTAAAATAGTATACAACTATCCCCCGAAGGGGAGGCGAATAGTGGTGGCATATACTGAGACGCATAGCGTCGAGGTATATATCGAGCGCTATGAAAAGACCCTTAGGGGAATAGTTGTTTTAGTATTTACCAAATCAGTTGGATAAAAATGGAAAAAAGTAGCTTTTTGTAAATTAAGCACGTCACTTAGTAGGAACTTTATTAACAATTTACAAACATTTCGGGGATTCTGTAAAGCGCCTTTATACTTTTTTGTTCCTTATTCAGCATGACCATAATTTTCTATCTACCAGTGAACACCGACAAACCAAAGTTCGTCGCTTTTTTGGTGTTTGTTTGTACCACTGTTTCATTTATCGCTCAAATTTCGTCCTTCGAAAATGTTTCGAAACGAGACGCCATCTCGGCTCTGGTCGCAAAACGGTGAATAGCCAAGGATATTCCGAGTTACGGGAGCCAATCAAAACGCGCGAAAATTGCTATTCACTGATTTGGTAAATACTAACAGAAACTGGTCTCGATCCGCGTGTGGGCTCGTCCCAAAGAAAGCTACTCTTCTGAAAGTGACCAAGGCTTTTGCTCTTTTAATACTAACGTCTCAGGAAAGTCAGTAATAAGTTGCTGTTTGAGGATCTCCATGGGGTGGTAGCTTTGACGTATGACGGTTAATTTTTTCCAATGTTAACGGTTATTAGCCGCGAAGGAAATTTAGTTCTACAGTTAAAGTAATATTGTCTTCTTTGTAAATAAATATTGACTGTTGTGTTTTGGAGGTTGTAATGCCCTTTCACTTACAAAATTTCGAAATGTTTTCGTATATAAGCAAGTTGTAAGGTCTTGTAATGTCTAGAGGAAGCGTTTCGAGAATATGGGAACTGTTTTTTTTTAGTTTAGAGATTCTTCAGGAGCCAGAGGTTCAAAAGATCAGCTGAAATAGTGAGATGTGAAGTACCTTGAAACTTTTTTACGGTTAATATTAATCTACGTTTTTTACTGTTGACGATGAAAAAAATGCCTTTTTCAACGGCTGACGGTTAACCCCATTGAAGTCATTGTTACTCTCGTTTTTCACTTATTATTTGCTCAGGAAGGGGGATGCAGTGTTCCGATTGGAGTTACTGCTAGTTTGGATGGTAATCAGGTACGCTTTGTTTACTGTTGTTTGTTTGTTTGTGTATATAAAAAGTAATACATAAATAGCAATTATAGTATAAAAAAAAACCCGAAGGATTACGGTCTTACTTTACTTTGAGGCGCTTTCCATTCAGTCAAATTCTGCAAAAAATTTTAGTTGAAATGGAACGGTCCTTTCCGGGTCGGTCGGTTCAATTGATCAGTAGGTAGCGTTTCATTCATTGCATGAAATTTCCGAAAGTTTGAACCGGACTTTTTGTCAAATGAAAACCGCTCGAACTCAATAAAAAGCCTTCTTGCTCGTTACCAGGCGGCGCTCATGCTTCAACAGGTAACTTTCGCCAAATATGTCTGCTTCCCTACTAAGAGTATCTCAATGTGGCGAGAGCGAATTATCTTTCAAGGGAAGATTATATGCCGGCCGCAACGCAAAAGTCAAACCAATCAAGCGATAAACCACTATTAAGCGGTCACTCGGCCGAAGTCCCGGAAGTCGTCGTTAGTTTCTTTAGCTAGCGTTAGCGTCTTCTTCAGTTCTTGATTTATTGTTCATCCTATCAAGCAGGTAATTAACGGTCAACTTGCCATTCCCCAAGGGTGATTTAGTGGCGGATCCAGGGGAGGGGCCTGGGCCCCCCCTTTTTTAGACCAAACTGAGGCCCGAAGGGTCGAAAAAAAATTTTTTTGGAGACCAGTCCCCCTCCCCTTATCTCAAAGTCTGGATCCGGCACTGTCAGACTTCTTGATCCAGTATGTAAAAAGAGTCGCTTTTTATTATGCGGACTGGGTTGAGAAACCTTTAGCTTGGTTTGAATCTTGCTTTCTAGTTAAGTATCACCGGTGCTGTGTTCAGCCTTGACGGAAAAGAGTGCTTGAAGGAGAAGGTCTCCGGAACCCTCCCAGATCCTGCCGTTCAGACGGGTGTCTGCTCTCATGCCGTGCTCACCAAATCCAGCATATTTGTCCCAGAGGAAGCCCGCGACACCCTTGTAGCAGCGGAAGAACTGGGAGAGCAGTTAGCGCAAGCTTTGATCGCTCGCGGAGCTGAGCGAGTGCTGCGAGCAGCTAGAGAAGGGAAAGATCTTAGCCAATAGGCAATAAAAATAAGTGCGAGTTAGACCTCATCACGGTTTTTGACACCATCTTTTTCCATACACTTGTCGGTATTTCTTTCTCCGAGAGAAAAATAGCTATTTTTCGGAGGGAGAGAAGCGACGACCGGAAATGCGTCTGCTGTTCGCAGGCTAACTGACAGTTTGTTCTACTTCGAATTTACACAGAAACATTGCAATTATTTATAGCCTTACCGACAAGATGGCGTCGAAAATAGTGATAGGGTGTAACGGCGACTAGAAGTCGAGTAACAATGCTATAAGAATTTTACGTATTTTTTCCCTTATGAATAAGCTCTTGCAGTTCCATCGGTGTTCATAATCAATATTCAAGAATATAAAATTTCATCTTAGGAAACCTCCCATGTAAAAGTGAAGTATTACCACGTTAAATTATTTCTTGTTAGCATCGGAATGGCCACACATTTAGTCCAAGGGCTCCATTCTCAAACACAAAGGTTGAAGCTACTTTAGCCGGGATGGCAGGTGGTTAATCTCGCAACCAGATCTAACTTTGTCGTACGCTTAAAAAAAATTAGACCCTGTACAAGAATGGGCAAGCTTTCAAAGGTAGGAGAGATTAGGCGCGCGAGGGACTGGGTAAAGCCTGTCTTAAAAAGACTCACACCAGTCTAAACACTTTATTCCTCCACTGAGGTTGCAAGAGCAAAGGAGACTTCTGTCTGATTGGCTGTTTGAATCTTTAGTGTTCAGTCTTCTTACCGCGCGCAAAAGTGTAAACAAAGATGGCTGCCAATGGGAAAGTTTCTTGTAGTTCTCCTGCGATCGATCGTTCCTTCGAGAATTTCTGCTAAGAGTTGTTGATTTTCATGTCACAAATAGCGGGGGAAGGTTTTCAAGGATTATGTCAATCGACAGGGTGTTTTTACCTTGGCCCTTGAAAGAGGACTTTCTTTCTTAACAGATTGACCAATGAAATCACAGATGAGATTAACCGGTCAGACAAAAGTCTCCTTTGTTGGTTGCAAGATCTTTACTTAGCTTTAACTTACAGTGCGACTACTCGAACCGGGCCATTTGGAAGAAGATTGTCAAAGACAGTGCCTTGTTTTTAAGCGGAGTGTCAACCAACGTTATCTAATATTATTCAATATTTAAAAGTAACTATTTTAAATTATTTAAATTCTAGTAATTGTGTTTCGAAATGGTTGAAATATTTCACACTTGAACAGGCATCTTTGAACCATTTTATAAATCACGAATAGATCACAGGAGATCGAAAAACTCATTCGAGAAGTTCTATCAAAACCTGAAAGGAATGTGTTTCATTCTGTATTCAGGAACTTCGACGGCAATAAGTGTAAAAAAACTAGGCCTTGTGTCATTTGCCAATTCACTTCCAGGGTCAATTTTATAAAACTATTACAAGTGTAGTTTACAAGTGTAGCTGTTGTTTTAAGACTATAAAACAATGGGTACACTTGTAAATATCACATTATTTAATTTCGATGAACAAGGTTGTTTTAATCTAAAATCTTTGTTACTCTCTTATTTTGTCGAAAATTGTAGTTTTTAAATTTTTTTTTCACAATTTATGGACACTAATATTTGCAGGAGCTAACGTCAAAACGTCATTCCACGTATTTACATGATGAAATGAATTTTAATTAACAATCTTAAACAAACGCCATGCGTTCGTAAAATAAAATGCAAAACTCACTTCAAATGAAATTGTACCTCTTCACACTTTTATGCAATAAAAGGAGGAGTCACAACATTTCAAGTTTGCTGTGTCGCCATATCTTTTCCTTTACTGGCTACTACCCAGTATCTCACTTTTTCGTAAGACGAGGAAGTTTGGATCCTAGTGATGCAAGGTGGCTCGACTCTTGCTTGATGCAGTGTTTTTGAGGACGACCTTCCACTATTGAGCCTTGTGGCTTGATCTTAATTTTACATCAATGAAAATACATAGAATACATACAGACTGAACTTCAATAGCCCATGAGGCCGAAGGAATGTTTTAGTAAAATCCAACTAGTTGGTAAAAAAAATATCGAGACACAACAACTTTAGCTAGTTAAAGCTAGACTTTAATCCTTTTTCAATTGCCGCCAAAAAGCTGGCGCTTTTCGCTACTAGTGGGCTATAACATATAGCCTAGTAGTAGCTCAACCAATCAGAACGCAGCATTGATAATAGACCACTAGTTGGATTTTACTAAAATGAATTATATAGTGATAGTTATTTTTTTCGAGATCTGAAAAGACTGATTATAGTGAATGCGTATTTGTGGCGTCTGAATTATTGACTCTAACCTCACGTTTAACTATCGTCAAAATTCTTCTTCTTTGTTCGTTCCTTTGTTGTTTCCTTTCTGTGCCGTATCCGCAGTATTTTTGAAACTGGTGCGGGTCTTCCCCTCCGCACCTGTTCCAAACGAGTAAGGTGAGGGAATACATAGGTTGCCTTAAACGGATGGAAACGAAACCTGCCGCTATGCTACGCAAGTTACTATGGAATTTCTTGTGCAGTGTTTAAACAATTGCCGCGCCGCTCTTTAAAAATTTTGTTCAATCCACTCGGAGGAAAAACACATTGGAGACTACCCGTAGTTATCCGGCGATAATTTTGTGTTTATTTATAACTTTGAGAATGCCGGATACCAGACAGTCTTCTAAGAGACAACAGTACATTTAAAGAGTGCTATGCGTATTCTTTTAGGCTCCCGATGGGGAGAAAATATCACATGATAAAAATAAAATGATTTTTAGACTCTATTCTTTCAATAACTTTCAAGGAGGGTGTCGTGAGCTAACCGAAGTAACCGACAGCTTGTGACATTTCTGGTAAGCATTAAAGAAACACTAGGCGTCAGTTTGGGGTCAAATAGATGTACCTGTACACTACCGATAGAGGCTTTCTAATGAAACTATCCACTATATATACTTCGAATTCGCATTCTTTATACATGCCTCAGTAGTCTTCATATTTCAGATTCTAAATGATACGTAACAAATATTCCATGGTTTCTCTCACGTACTAAATTCGGATCAATTTAGGGTTCTGGGAAACTGCCCACCTACCCCTCCGCTAAGCCAACATTATCACTTACTTCTCACTTAGGGCAAATGTTGGCTTAGGGGAGGGGCAGGTGGGCAGTTTCCCAGAAACCTAAATTGATTATCTTATATTCTTCACGTGACTCGCCATGCAAGTTGCCAGCTCGGGCTACACTGTCTGGGCAAATCTCACCCTTTAAACCTTCGCAGTCTTGAAAAAACTTAAAGTACATGCATATTTCGCCTCTGAATTATTATGACTCTTATGTAAAAACTATCGTCAAAGTTCTTCTTTACTTCCTTGCTGTGCCGTATCCGCAGTATTTTCGGGTTCCTTTAGATCCACCTTTCCTGCCAGTATATCTTCCACCCATTGCTGAAGGTGCCGGAGTTTTGTTTCTTTACCTTTTTTCGCAAACCAGGAACTTTTGCTCTGTATAATGTGACATATGAATCTCAGTGATCAGAAACTTATGTTTGTTAAACTGGTTCTCAAACTTGAGAGTGTGAGGGGCAAAAAACACGAAACAAAACAACAGAAACAAAAACCAACTAACAATAATGTCCGGAACTATGACAGATCTATTCGTCACTTTCACATTGCCCTTGCATAATACGTCCTTGTTTTACCCCCCCCCCCCCCCAAAAAAAAAAAATGCATAACAATCGTTTTTGCTATAATTCGCCATTGGCACAAAGACCGTAATGCACCTTGTTTTATATCCCCCCTCCCGCCCAAAATAAATAAATAAATAAATAAGTAAATGCGTAATATATAACGATTGTTTTCAATTTCTCACGGGTATTGCCTTCGTCCCAAGAGAAATCGAAGACAATGGTTACGCCAAATTTGGGGGGTAAACAAGGTGCATCATGGTCTTTGTGAAAGTGGTGAGTACTCAGGTGAAATTGAAAGTAACTCTTATGCGAATTGTTTTCTTTTTTTCTTTCTTTTTTTTTTTACAAGGGGAGGGGGGTGGCAGGGCGGGGGCGAATTAAACAAGATGCATCGTGTGCAGTGTGAAAGTGGCGAATGACAGAAAATACCAATGGCAAACTCACCCCAAACAAAGTGTGTGGATGGGTCTGGTACAATAGTTGGGATACTGACACATAATCTATTATGACAGGTGTACACTGTCATGTCATGTACTCTCATTTAAGAAACGGGAACAGAAAATCACAGTCTTAAATGAATTGAAGTCTGTGCGCATATGAGCGCGTATGGTGGATGTGCAATTTTCCTCGCCACTGTAATTTTGTAAAATCTCTTGTGTAAATGTACGTATCTCAGTAATGGAAAATATTTCATTTAAATTCAACATTAGTATGTAGCGTCCCCACACCGCAAGAGGTAACCAAAAAGATGGCAGTTTCTGAGCTGGGTTACAAGAAATCAAACAGAAGTGACATACCAGTTTTGGATCAATGACTCCTATCACCGGCGAGTTGACATCAATATTATACGACTTCTGCCAGTAGTCACGCATCTGAAAGAAAATGAAAAACTTACAAAGCTGCAAGTTTACTCCTGGGTTGCGTGTTATACCACAGGTTTCCCATCCTCTGTTTGTGTTACGGACTGTGCTTTATAAATACCGCTTGAATATTGAAAAAGCCTTCATTTCTCTTAACGTTGAGCCTCTTCCACGGGGTTTAAATCGATAAAACAAACACAGAGCAACAAGATTCAACATATGTTGAGGAGTATGAGCGTTTCAATGTTTTTCTATCGGTTGAAATAGCAGTAAATAATATCGCATTAAAATTCCATAACCTCCCGTAATCGTCATGATCTTAAGCTAATATAGGCACTGTTTTTAATATCCGGCAAAATGATAACTGTTTTTTACGCATTTTCTGACTTTGTGATCGAGTTTTCTGACTCGCATTAATTTTTACATTTTCTTACATTTTGGTCTTGCTTTTATCAAGTTTATCGCTATAGAGCACCCTGCACTAGAGAGACTTTGTATCTCAAAAAAAAATTCCTTATGGGTTTTCATGACCCACAGTTAAATGTCACTACCCTGAAGGCGTAAGTAGCAGGCATTCGAAAGGGAAGGGGAGGGAAAATTGGGTGCGCACTCTTCTCACACGCCTGAAATCCCCCCAGTTTTCCATGAACTAACGAATTATGATTAAGAAAAGCTTCATTTACAGCCGAAGCGGTTATATATAAGGCATAGCCCGCAACTTAAACAAAGGAGTATTGTTGTCAGTTTTTTCCCAATCTTATCAACATTGCATGTGTCCGAATCTTCCGCAGCTCCTGCGCAACTCACCGTTGGAAAAGGATCAGGATCGACCCATAAGAAGTACAGTTTTTCGTTGTCACCATAACGCCTGGCCAGTGACTTTACCAACGAGAAGAATTGCGCGCCCTCTGTTGAAAGGAAATAAGGCCAGTTTTAAGCTGTAATTTCCTTTGGGTACGTTTGACGTACAAAACTATATCAATCTCTTACTCATCAAAGCTCACGTTCACCTTTCATGGTTGCTAGTTAAGGTTTGCTTTTTGGTTAAGAGAGACATACAACACCTCTTTCAATAGGTAGTTCAAAAAAATTTTAAGAAAAAGAAAGCAAAAAAAGGGTAAGGTACATTAGATTTTTACTTGTTTTCTTGAGAAGCCTGTCATCTAAGAGTCTCTATCCCCTAAGAGTGTCACAGCGCCTATAGTAGCCTATTCTAGGGTCCAAGACAGTGGGAAAACGGATCGAAAACAACTGCAAAAACACCGCGTGAGGACTGGGGAGAGAGAATGAAGTGGACAAAAAAAAAATGCTGAAACCAAACTTCTCCCTTCCCGCCTTTTTTCGCTCGCTCATTGTTTCGCTCCTTGCGCACTTTTTTCGCTTCTCGTTCGCTTTTTTCGCTCACCTACACTGACGGAGAGCCTGGCAAAGGCTACACAGCGCCTTAATTATTCATATATTTTTTTTCCCGTGAAATTTGCTGAATCAGTCCGATGACTCTTCGGCCATCTTCGTATGACTCTTCACTTTCCTCCACTGCTGTTCATTTGTTGGACAGACAGTTCACTCTTAGATGGACACCTTTGGGACCAGCACTAAGTGTCCATCTAAGAGTTAAGTCCATCTTGTAGTAGAGAGTTAAATAAAGAGCGTAAAGAAAGGCAAGGACGATTGGATCAATTTAGGTTTCCGGGAAACTGCCCACCTACCCCTCCCGTAAGCTAACATTAACACTTACTTCTCACTTCGGGCAAAATGATGGCTTAGGGGAGGGGTAGGTGGGCAGTTTCCCAGGAACCTAAATTGATCCGAACGAACAATAGGTGTCCGTTTTACCGAGGTGTCCCTCTTATAGAGGTGTCCCTTAAGGGAAAGTCCACTGTACCCTACTCTGTTGTGACTGGCTGAACGTGTTTTGGGCGCGAAGGATGAAGCTATAAATCGCCAGAAAGCCTCGGGTGCCGTTTCCATGTCTGTTTAACAATTAGTGAGGTGACTTATTGTTTTAGTATAATAATTACATTCATTTGATGATTATTCAAGACAATAAAATTATTGATCAATTTCCGACTCAGAAACATCAGCAAATCTGGCTGCCACTTTGAAAACTGCTAGCCTTCAATGTTATGATCACCGTGCGGTGATTATAGCGGGATGATCGAAGCGAAGATGCTAGCCAATCACAGCGCTCTATTTTCGATAATCATCAATGTATTTATACTAAACGGCAGATAGTAGCTCCGGAAAGTTAGGCTCCTGTTTTAGCTATAGAAAAGCGTGCAAAAAAAATGTTAAGTAGAAAGAAAATGAGAACATTAGTGTAAACAGCGTACTAACAACATAGTACACATGACCACATGTTTGCTTTTATACGTTGGCATTAACTGATTGCCTAGTCAGAGCTAACAAAAAACAAGGAATGATATTTAATCAGATTTCACTTTAAGACAACAGAGGACATGCAAATGTCGGTACATTTTGGACGCCTACGAAACAACAAAGTCAATGAGAAAAACAACAAAATATTTTCCACTTCTTTGTATTTGTAGTCAACCCAAGAAGTACATGTACTCCTGCCCCATTTATTCATTTTAGATAATTTTGTTTTTTTCATTTTTGTTTTAGATAATTTGTTGTAGTTGTGAAAACGTCATTCATTCATTCATTCATTTACTCATTCATATTTATTCTCCATATCATACATCATTACACTACAGTTGAATTATAAAGAAATTTAAAGGAAAGCAGATGGCGAGGACACCTGAAAGAAACCACGAGGCTTATAAAGAATCAGGTTTCCTAAGAACTAAAAAAAGTGAGTCTAATATAAACATTAAAAGAGATCAAAATATTATTAAAATGCAATGCTTTCTACTTGTTATTTAAAACAAAAACTCAAGAACGCACCGTTCGTATCGAGTCTCACGAAGGCTGTTATGAGGTATCCTTCCTTTTTCGTTGACTAGACGAAAAAAGATCATGTATTCAGACACCGTATTCACATTTCAAAGGGGGTCACCCACTACTTAAACTACGGTACTTTGTTCCCATATAGCAACACCTTATTTAGAATCATAGTTCAAAGGGGAACTGATGGCAGCGTTCCAAATACCCCCTCTCGTTGGTTTACGATCATCTCGCCTCCAACGAAATCGCCACAAGAAGTCGACTCGTCACCAGCGAATAACTCTGAAATAATTGACGCAGTTTAATACCGAGGATTACTTACGTAAGATTTTTACTTTTTCGTCAAGCTTATTCGAATTTAAAGTCGACCCAAATACAAATATGTCGATCCTAATTGACGATCCTTGCGTCACTAATAATACAGGTATAGGTTCCGTGAATATAAACTTTGACATTTGAGAAAAAACTGGCAGAAACTTTTCACAACAACTAATCATTTCTTTGAAATAAAATTATGAAAATAAAGTGAAGGTTAAGAAATTTCCGTTCATGAAGATTCAAAACAATCCCAAGCTAATTTCTATTCTTGATGGCGAGATGGGTTGGTGGCGAGGTAACCAGATACCCTCTCATTTATTCTCGCGGGAAAACGCCCGAGGTTGTTCTTCCCCCCTGCAACCCTTTCTATACAGCAGCTATAACGGAGGCTACGACTTTGAAAAACAATTAAGGAAAATGCCGCAAATGTTCGAATAAGTTGTCTCCCTTGGAATGGACTCCTCTCAGCAGGGGTATTTTGCAGGACGCCGAATGGCTCTGAAGTTTGGTGACTGAGTGAATCAAGTTTCAGGTCAGTTCTCCCAGTATACTGGCCCTTAATAAAACCTGATTCACTCAGTTTCCTAACCCCAATCACTAAACTTCAGAGTCATTCGGTGTTCTGCAGTTCGCCGAACGCTAATTGCAGAACACCGATTGACTCTGACATTTACTGATAAGAGTTAAGAAATTGAGCAAATTAAGTTTCAGGTCTGTTTTCTTAGTTAAATGACCCTACCTGTAACCTGGTTCACTCACTTTCCTAATTCCAATCACTTGACAGTCATTCGGCGTTTTCCATTCGGTGTTCAGCGTTCTGCACTGCCGGACTACGAAATAAGTGCCCTGCCACTTTCAAATTAGCACCAATATCTCGAATCATAAAATTCAATACGCGCTAATATTCGAGTATTTACGGTATCTGAAAAAAAAATGCCCTCTATTCTCAAACTCTTCTCCCTTATAACAAATGGAAGATAAGTGCTATAATCAATACTCACGACAGTCACTTACCCACGTATCGTGGATATCTTCAAGCCTTATCTTAGTCAAAATACCCCTGTTTGGGACAAAGGCAAAAGAGAAATATATGAACATTCAATCAATTCTTATTCAGAGTCGTTAAAAGAACAGCAAGTAATTGCAACTGACTGCTTACCGTTTGTTCTTTTCGATAAATTTGTTTATGTTTTCTTCTGTTATAGCCTAGAATTAAAGCACAGGATTTTTTACAAAAGTAACTAAAGGGAGAAACGCACCTCTTTACTAGCCCCACAGGTTAAAATATGTTGAATTTCGTCAAAAGTATTGTTAATGTTAGAAACTAAATCAAACATCTAAAGGAGTTCTTTATCTAAACCCTGGTAAGGTTTTCGTGTAATTGCTGTAATCGCTTAAAAAAGTTCAGCGATCTGCATGATCATAGTGATGTTTATGGAACCAACATTAAGAACTCTAGAAGTCGCCTTAAAGAATCACCTCTAATTTACGTCTTTTAAAAATGTAATTTATTTTCTAAAGAAGATCTCTAGAGGAGCTCTTAAAAACTCGTTTAGATGTGTTCAAGCGTACCAGATACAAAACGAATTCGGAAACGCTTGCTTTCAGGAAAGTGGAAAACCGCAGTGCCCGCAGCATGGAGGATGCTAAGGAAAAGAAATAGCTTAGCCTCCTCCGCAGGCAACTCCCGTTACACTGACCGTGAGGAGTCTGAGGACGAGAAAAGGAAAAAAATGTCTCCCCGGTCTCTCCCCATTCTCCAACTCGTTCTTTAAAACAGGACAATGAAGCCTGCGGAGGAGGCTCAAACCAGCTAAAACTCTACTCACGTATGGCTTTCCCTTGGGACTGGATGCAAACTCGGGCCACATGGACGGTTCTACCCTCGATCTTCGTCAGGTTTTTATTTTCCTTTTTTCCTACGTCAACTATGCGCAAGAGCGCTTTCTGTCCACTGAATAAGCATTTTTCGTGGCAAGGTTTTGAATTCTCATTAATAAGCGTCCCTTACCTCATTCGACGGAAAGGAAACAGGTTTCTCAAATGGCTTTAAGAGCTGTATACTTTTAGGCTTCTTGAACCTAAACGATTTGGCGAGCTGGGGAAAACAAGATAGCAACGGAAAGGTAAGGATAAGGCTAAGCCCTGCGCACTTTGGATCATTACAGAGCTTAAGCAACAACGATAGTTACGGCTCCGAAAACGTCAGTTAAAAGGTGAATTCACGCTGCTACAAACTTTATCGCGCTTATTCCATATCCTTCAATTCGTCAAATATTGCCATTTTTTTCTGGAGTTGAATTCTAAAAGACTGTAAAGTCGTTGTCTTGTGTTCACGTTCTCCACAAAGCGTGAAATTAGGCATTTTCACGTCGTAGTCGTGCACTGACGGCAAAGAAATGTACAAAAAAGCGTGATGCACGTGCAAAGTTGTTGTTTTGCTTTTTTGCCGTTCTCGTTGCCGTCGCCGTCGTCGTTGCTTAAGCTCATGAGGCCCATTCAGCAGGAGCTGGGTTACCCCGGTTTCAATAGGTATGAAGCACCTAAAGGGCTGTCCACACTTGATGCCAGGCCAGGGAACCAATGCCTGGATACTGGCATAAAATGGTGTTGTGTTCACACCTTGAGCTAGTACCCGATACGAAACTGTGTGCATAGTTACTCCCTTTCGCCCCGTCAGACGCCATTTTAAAATTTGAGCTTCGCAGGGAGTCCAGAGCAGAGCGCGATTGCCCTAGAACTAATAAAAACCGCAACTCTTCCGCTAGTTAGTAGAAATCATTATACAATCTAGGTAACAGATGGTAGACCATGATTTCAATTGATTTGTATAAGAATGGCAATTTCACCGACTTAAACTTAGCTGACGTCGCCTCTCTTGTGAAATAACAAGTTGTCTTTGCAAGCTAAAGAATCGCTCATGAGACCGCGGTTAACTTGCAACTAATGGTGCTCTAAAACAATATAACAATAAAACCAATAACAATATAACATACCTTTTTATCAAAGACTGCAAAAAATGGAAGTAACGGTTGGTACTGCTTGGCAGAATTCTCAAACGCTTTTATTTCTACATGAAAAAAGACAAAAAATAACATGAAAGGTAGAAGTAGTATCGCTTTTGTTTAAGAAAAAAATGTGCTCAAAAAGTGTACTATGGGTGGCTATAGCCGGGGGGGAGGGTCTTAGGCGTGTCTTTCCTTTTTCCCTATCGGTCGGAAATCATGCTATGAGAGTGACTTAAGCTTGTTAAACCTCCGTTAGTCGAGAGGAGCGAAAAGAGAAGTGAGGTTGCGCTTTCTTGACCTACGCAAAAATACGGGCTATTTTGCGGTCTCACTGACGAGTTTGACATGCTCTGATATCTTGTACTTAAAATCATGATTTTGCCAGTCCGACGATATCTGATGACACCTCTGCATGAAAATGTATTGAAATCCGGAAAATTAATGTTAATTGACGTACCAGGTGAATCCTTCTCCAAGTAGCCAATCACTTTATTGCCATCCACATCTTCAAATGAAGTTTTCTGTTTCTTGCTTTCGATAAAGGTGACTGGAGCTTCAAACATCTGACAATAAAAAGGGGCATTATCAAAACAAAACGCTTAATAACGAGTCCCTCCGGAAACTTGTACTATAAGTTCTTTCCGAGATTCGCGATGCTTACCATGCAAGGTTCCGCGTAAAGAAACAATGAAATTCGAAGAAAGCAAAATTAACTAGTTTCCCGCGGACCAGTCATTGAGTTCTTTTGAAATATAGCCCGAATATTCTACTCTGATTTAATAAAGTAAATCTTGGCAAGCGGTCAACATTGGCGAACAGACTGCGAGGTAGTTTTCATCCGTAGGTGTCTTCGGATGCGCACCCGTTTCTCCACACATCACCTGAGATCTGGATACGAGATTACACCTGTGGTGTATTTCATGGACCGTAATGGAGTAGGAGTCCATACAAACAACAACAACAACAAATTAAAAGCGAACAGGTGGACAAGATGCGACTGTCTTGCCCGCTCGGTGGCCAATCAGAACACAGAAATCGCCTCATCTTGCCCACTCGCGCAGCCAGCAACAACGTTGAATGTCACTTTTGTATTTTGGAAGAGATATATTTCATACAGTTGTAGAAGTCGCGCGCTTTTTTGCATTTGGTTCATTGATAAGGCATCGCGGCAAAAGAAAGGAATCAGTTTCTAGCGTAAAAGTGCTGATGTAAAGTTTCTTAAACAGCAAAACGGAGAAACTGACAAGCAATCCAAAAAGTCAATATGAGTTACCCACCAATTACAATGCCTTAAATTGGAACCTCTCGCACGTGACCACTGCCTGTACGCAACCACCAAATTTTGGCCATGTAGGAGGTCGCTTATGGGAAGTTCGACTGCACTTCTAAAGTGATGTATGTAGCACTCGTTTTGAATTAAAATTCTATGTGTATCACGTTTCCTAGCAATACGCATCGTTGTAAAACTTGCTGGACTAACCTTGTGCAAAAATCCTACAAGAATATCTGCTGACCTGTTAAAAATCAAAAAAGTGTGTTGATTAAAAGGGGCCACACCAGGCCATTTGCTATCTTCTTAAAAAGCTAAATCTTGTCTCCGCGTCCATTGAATTTCAAAAATAATGGTCCAGCTTTTTTATTTAAGACTATTTTTAGGCACTGAAACCTTTTTCCTGTTGTCTGTTGCCAAGGATAGCAAGGGTGGGCATGGATTAAAAAAACTTGAAAAAGTTGGGTCAACATTTTCAAATTTTAATGTTATGCCTGCAAATACCATCCAAAGAAACAAATATCATGGTTGGTAATCCCTGATGAAATTTGTTTGATGGCTTCTTCATTACTCTGCAAGACCATTTTGTATATGGCGATAAAGGCTAGCCCGAATTTCAGACGATCACTCTGAGTCGTTTCTCCTCTCAGCAACGTCTGAATCGACCGGCCGTTAATACCGTCCAGTGACGTCACTACCCGCAAATCGGGTGGTGATTCTGATTGGCTGATTGTCCAAACGTTTGCATAATTATGTATAATTATGAGTGTGTTTTTGAAGTGTTCCGTGTGCGTGTTTTTAAAGCTTATTTCATTTCGTGATTGCGATCGAGTTTGATTATTAAATTACAACAGATTCGTTTACTTTTTGCATGAATTAAAGCAAAGGAGTAGTGACGTCACTGGACAGCATTAACGGCTGGTCGATTCAGACGTTACTGAGGGAGTAAAAATGACTCGAAGTAATCATCTGAAATTCAGGCTAGATAAAGGCACAAAGTAACGACTTGTGACATAGTCCCTTAAAATGTCTACGAATAAAGCTCATCTAGCGAGACACATCAGTACTAGACACCAGTAAAGTGACTTGGCTTGCTATGCCAAGTCAGTGTAGGAATACATTTTGGGGAACTCTCAGCAAATTTGCCAAAGCACCGTTCAACGCCACACTACTGGATACCGCGCCTTAATTGGGATACTGATGCCAGGCCTCGTCGACACGTTTCCGGGTATTTTTAAAAATTGAAATTTTTCTCCGTTTTTGGAAATTTCGCATACACACGAATATGGCCCGGCGTACGCAGACGTGTACTTTCTGATCGTCGTTTCACTGCGAAAGCCTTTTCAACGGAAATAATCGGAAGTAAAAGTAACAGCTTTTTTATCCACATTAAGAACACCGCATTCAGGGTCTACTTTAACACAAAGTGACTCTTCGCTGCATGTCAAGAAGGGTATCATTCACTAACATGTAGAACAGGCGCTATTTGTTCGCCTTTTTGAGCGAACGATGCAGGAAAGCGTGGAGCAAGAGACACGCACTGCGGGGAAAGGCGCGGGCTCCTCGCTCTTTTTGCGCTTGCCTTCGGTCAACTGAAAAACGCCAAAAAAATAACGCCTGTTCAGCTGTCTAATCATTCACCTGTGACCATAATACTCTATTGTCTTTCCCTTATGAAAAACCATAATTGCACCAGAGTATTTAACACCTGCAAGACATTTAAACAGACCAACGTACATAAGTTTATCGATCAACACTATCATAATTTATCATTATAAAAATATCGAATCTGAATCTGGCTTTGAGTCAATTCTTCGCGTTATTCAAAGGAATGACAGTGAACTTACCCACACTTTGCGCTAGAGACATGCTTTCTGCGATATTGACAACAGCTATAGTCACACCCTGAGGCTGAAGCACCCTTGCAACAATCTGTGGGCGGAAAAACACCTATTAGAGGCCCACCTTTTAAGGGGGGAGGGGGGTTGGTTGATTTGGTTTTGGCAAGAGTTTTTTCCAAGCCTACTATTGTGACCAAAATTTTCTGTACAGGCAAAGGTTTTTTTGCTTCCAAGTCTATTTAAGGGGTAATTGATTTTAGAAAGAAAAAACTGTAAACAGCCTAAGAAGGGACAAATTCTTGCATGCTGTGAATAGTCAGATATTTACATGTACACCTGTCAAAAAACATCTGGAAAATTTTGTGCTATTGAAAGACAATGTCTGTGGAAGGTGTTCCTTTACAGGTGAGGCTATCTTATGGAAAGCTTCCCCCTTTGGATGGTGTTTCCTTGAAGAATAGCTGCATGTGTCTGCTTCAGGGATATACCCCTTATGCATGGAAGGTGGGAAGTGGCCCCCTTTTCTCCTTAGTGTATTCTGGGTTTTCAAATGATGTCACCAAAATTCAAACTCAGAAACTATCGATTCTTCTGAGTTTCTACTTCCATGAGGTATTACAGCACCTAAAAACCTATAAATTTCCAGTTCGAAAGGGTGCTTTGTTTTGCGATATGAAACGCTTTTGCGTGACGCGACACTTTGCTGGCGGCCGGGAAAGCTCTTGTGTGGGTTAAAAACGTTACCGATTTTTTGACATTTTGCTATTTAAACATTGGTTGTCTCAGAATAAATATTACTTTAATCTTTATGAGTTCCTCAAGCGATGAATTTATGCATTTGAAGAAAAACTCGAAAACAGATGTTTCTGTTGGTTTCCAGCGGCCATATTTGAGCCCCGTAAAGGGACACCAACATGGCATCTCCATACAAATCTATATAAATTTGGGTAAAACGTTTTTTCCGAATTTCTCGCATACGAGATCTCACACAGACCTGATTCTTGGCCAGGCTTTCTGTATATTTATCTTCTTCCATTTCCCATATTCTGGATTTTCTGCGGTATTGAATGGTTCACCAGGGCTGTCATTAAGAGCTGGGGGCCAGGGATTTCCCCCGGCTACTAGGAGTGTGGCCCCCAGCTACTTTTGTAACTTTGTAACTTTATTTGATTTACCACAAAATACAAATAACGATAAAACAAGGCAGTTACACAAAAGCAAATGAAAGTGGCGAGGAAGCCCAAAAAGAAACCATGAGGCTTATAGACATTGGGCTACCTCAGAGTAAAAATAAAGTTAACAGTAACAGTAAGGCCAGGATCGAAAGTAAAATACAATGAAGGTAAGTATAAATTAACTAATTACATAGACTGAGTTGACAAAATATAAGGTATGGTACATGTAACAATAAGTATAAAAATAATATCAGACATGTGAAGAAATATAACTATTTACTACAAGATTTGTAACTAATAAATCATATATATATATTTATTGGAAAATAGAAGAAAAATGGAACCAAAAGATATCCCCAGCTGTTTTACTCCTCGCCTACTTATTGTATTTACCCAGAAACTTGAAATCTTAGTGACAACCCTGCGCTTTGCCTTTTTATTTCTGAGGGCATGACAGTGAAAACAAAGAATATATAAATGTAGAAGCCACTTTTGTGGGTCTCCTCTTATCATAAAGCAAAGTTTCCTATAAAGGACAAGGGAGTGGCACAAGTGCAACCTTAAATGATCCACCCTCATGTGGAAGGAAAAGTGTCCCCTTATAAAGGTTAGCCCCTAATAAAGGGGAAGCTACATAGTAATACCCCAGAGGCCTAGATCGGGGCTATCGCTCATGAAAGAGTCTCCTCTTATATTAAGTGTTGCCTGAAAGGAGAAGTACTATTGTGGAAGGTGTCCTCTTATACAAGATATCCCTGTAAAGGAGAGGTACCGGTATGTGTGTACCCTTAAGGGATATGCCCCCTTAATTAAGGAGAGAGAAGTACCATTTTGGTAGGTGGTGCCCTGTAGAGGGTTCTCCATTATGGAGGGGGGATTCACCTTATTTAAGATAACCCTAAAGAAAAGGTTAATGTACATGTACTATACTCTTAAGGGATATGTTCCCTTATGGAAGGAGAAGGACCATTATGAGACATGGCTCCTAGTAAGGTGCCCCCTTAACTAGCGGCATAGAGGAACCATTATGAAGGGTGTTTTCTTACCCACGGTTGACCCAATAGAAGAGTGATCAAATCAATTTAGGTTTCTGGCAAACTGCCCACCTACCCCTCCCCTAAGCCAACGTTTGCCCTAAGTGAGAAGTAAGTGATAATGTTGACTTAGGGGAGGGGTGGGTGGTCAGTTTTGATCCGAGTAATCTTATCAGGTGTGCCCCTTGAGGGAGGAGAGGAATACTTAAATGCACAAGGTGTCCCATTAAGTAAGATGTCCCCTTCAAGTTAAGACCACACCCTCATGAAGATTGTCCTCTTGAATTTAGTGCCCCCTGAAAAGAGAGGTGGCCAGGTCTCATCTTATGCAAGATACCATTGTAGAGAGGAGTACCCTTATTCACATAATCACATACAAATTCTCTCAACTGACCTCCATACATTTTCTTTAAGAGTTAGTTAAGAGAATTTGATAGAAGATCAAAGCATTTTCCCTTTGGTGATCATTTTATCAATTCTCATAAGCTTTTCTCTTGATGGTGTATGGAAAAGGTTAGAAGAAAATTGATGTAAAGATAAAGCAATTCCTCAAACAGAATCTGAGGGGAAACGAGTGATAAAAACAAGTTTGACACATGTATTTTCAAGTAGAAATCAACTTATCCTTTCAGATTGGAAATATAAACAGATTTTACATCCATTTATCTCTCTTACGTAAACACCTGGTTTTTTTTTAATTTTTTAATCTTTTTTACGGTTGGAATAACAAGAAAAAATCATCTACTTAATTTGAAAATTTTTTCCGGTCCTTTAGGAAACAGCAAAATAAATACTCAAATACTCTGTTCTCTTTGCTAATTTTTACTTGTAAATATCTCCCCTTATGGCCAATAATAATTTTAAAATGAAGCATTTTCAGTTAGCATTATTATCACAAAATCTGTATCAAGTACAGCTGAAAAAACCCTTTTTTTGCTTATTTCAATTTTGAGAATATTTTAATCACCTCTGTCTGAAAATAATGTGACAACTGGGATCTCAAGATAATTAAGACACTTTTTTGTAACTAAGTATAAATTTTATGTTTCAAATTTTTCTTTAGATTGAATTTGCTGGATTGTCTTTGTCTCATTTAATGGTAATGAAATTTAGACAGGAAAATATCATTTCAGCTGAAAATTTAAAAAATTTCCAAAACCTTAAGTAATTAACCTAAAATTTTAAGCATTAGTGTAGAAAAAATAATTAAAATGTTATCGTAAGGGCAATTTTAAGCCCACTCCACACCCTTTAATATAATGTTCTTGTAGTTTAAAAAAAAATTAAGACTGACATGTTTAATATTATAACTGAATAAGATTTGTTCAGCTGAAAAAATGAAAATTTTCATAAAACTGCAATATGGAAAAGATCATATTTAAATATCAATCTTTTCAAAAACTGAAATCTTTTTAAAGAAATTCTGTCAGTACAATTCCAACTTGATTACAGTATATTAAAGGCAAAATCACTTCAAGAACCACCAGTTTTATATTCTGTGGTTGATCTACGCAAATCATTTATTATTAAAAAGCAATTTACACTGTCAATTAGCACAAGATAGAATTAATCATTCATGACTTTAGGTCTCCATAATTACAGGAATAATATTCTCAGCATTAAGTACACTATCTTCACAATTTCTTACCACTAATATGCTAAAGTTTAAAACTGTAAGATTTTTTTCTTTAGTTAAAATTTTGAATTGGATCATTTATTACGATTTTGTGTCCTTTTGATGCTTAAGACCATTTGCAAAGAGAAACAATCGTGCATCAAACATGTACCCAAACGAATTAGCTAAAGCAAAAAGGAAATTTATATATTAGGCTGAAGGCAATCCAATACTCATGTGTGACTTATCTGAAAGATAATTCCATAAAATATTCAGATGCCTGCATAAGAACTTTAACGAATATTTCAAACTATAATTCAGGCAAACGCGAGATGAATGTTAAAGCAAAGAGGATTACTTTCATGTGAAAGGTAAACAAGACTAAAGATCCTGTACCGTCTGCGGTACCTTGATGGCTAAAACTTGCATTAAATGGGATCCAAGCTTAAGTAATACGAGCTTCCGTACTCATGATCGTCCGTTTTCATATAGCCTCCCTGCTAGCAGCTTACCTCAAGCATCTTTTCGTCCGTCTTCCATGACCGATCGGCCTCTTGATCTTCCTTGTTCGCGTAGTAAAACAACACCGCTAGTAGTCGACTTGCTTTCATTGTCTTGTTGAAGTTGCTTTCGGTGAGCTTAGCTACCCTTTTGATTCCGTCATCTTTGAGATAAGGCGGGAGTCTTTCTTCTTCCCTCGTGATCTCACCATCGTCATCTAAAGGGAACGCGCCTTGGAAGAAAAGTGCACAACCAACGATGTAAACAAAGATGAAGTCGTTCATAGCCAAACAGAAACTGACAACGTTCCAGCGTTGCGCTCTATCGGCATGCGAGACACTACTGGTAGGGGAAAGCCACGATTTCTCCAGGGAGCCCTAGGGATGATGATTTCTCGCCCTCACTTCCGGGCATCATTTTGAGCCAGATTTTCAATGAAGAGCAATCTGCGTTCCTGTTCATAAACATATCATCACCTATCACAGGAAGTCAAGATTTTATGGGCGTTTCTGTTCTTTGATCAAAGGTTGCAGCCAAGGTCAAGCGCAAGCAAATTGCGGGGAAATAGCGGTAAAATCGCGGTAAAAATTAGTGAAAATTAGTAGCATACTCAAAATACTCCTTTGACGCCACTTCCGGTGTGTCCGTAGTTCGTGACGTCATCTTCACCATAGACTTGCAAATCGATCATGGCGACGACCGAATGTAGACACTACTTGCCCTAGCCGAACAAAGGGACAATTCGCGATTATTACGGGTCACTGTGGTTGTAACAACAAGACATGAAAAAATGACGACTTGGTACACTTCAGAGAATTCAGCTAGTGGTAAGTTAATAAAAAGTAAGCGGATGTAGCTACGAAATATTTTCGATGAGCGTCTTTTAATACGCCCAGATCAGCGAGATATAAGACTGTAATTTAGCTTGTACAGTATTGAACTTCTGCCTGATCTTTCATAACCATCATCGATGTGACTTTGATAATATTTACATTTAAGTGTCCGTTTTAGAATTACACTTGAGATTTTGTTTTCTTTATTTCATCCATTTTTAGGGCCAAATTTCGCGATGGCTTCGTTTGATGAAAGCTCTGTCTTTTCTCACCAGGAATTTAGCCGTAGGTAAGGAGGATTTTTCGATTTTGGTTGCGAATAAATCCTTCACGTCAAGTACCTTTCATCAAATTGTATATTTGTCATATTTTGAAATATGAAGTCTATAATCATTAAAAAGTATGAGGTTGAGTTTTTGGCTTATCGATTGATCAAACCCATCCTCCCAAATTGGCATCCATTGTTTATTTTAACTTTCAAGTTTTTACTAATTGTTGTTCAAAAACTATTGTCCTGATGTTGGTTTTTCTACAAGGCAAGTACTCTTCAGAAGGGTAGAAATCGCATTTAAGTTGGACATGCGGTTTTGTGTTTTTGCTGAAAGGCTAATCTTTCATAACTGCATGTTAAATGTTGTTGCCTGAGCGACAAATTTTACCAAGCGGGCATTAAACCAATATCCTTTGGATAACTTTGGACACGAAGTTTTAACGACGAAAAGTCGTTTATATCGATGGTGATCAAACTGTAAACTTGAATGTTTATAGAAAAATATTGTTTTTAAGAAAAGGTTTCTGCATTTATGCCTACGTCTATGATTCGTGTACATGATGATTAAACACACCCCAGTCATTTTGAATACGTTGACTTAATATTGCTCGTCGCTTTTGAGTATTTTTACTTAATATCTTGTTGAAATTGACATAATTTTGAACAACTCCTCGCAATGCATTAGCTTCCTTGTCGACAATTTTTGATACCTGTTGACTGTTTTTAAAAAAATATTAAAAATGGGATTGGAGTGCTTAAATTTCAGTTTCGTACAGCCAACACAGGAAACAGTAAACAAAATAATATTGTTTGAGGCTTAGTCTTTAATGAAGAATTATTCTATTGAGGAGGGTCAGCTGAGGCAATTAACTTCCCTCAATATCTGCAGTACGTATTCTTCACATCATACACTGTACTGATGTAAAATTCAAATTTTTCTGGTACAGTAAACTGCTGCTTATACATCTCAGTATTAGGGATTTTTAGAGGGCTTATAAACGGAGGGGCTTATATCCAAGGGTGTTTATACCCGGAATAGAAAAAGTGCGTCAAAACAACCTTTAGCAGTGCTGATAAAAAATAATATGTTTTGTATTTTCTGGGTTCAGTTGAACCTCTCTACAATTAACGGCCACCTTGGGGACAGAAGAAAGTGGCCATTGTAGATCAGAGAGGCAGCAATAGTTTGGGTCTGGGTTATCCTTTCTGCAGGGACCGCGGAGAGGACAAGTGCTTTTTTGGATTGCTAAAAGAATAATTTTTAGCTGGTTACAGTTACATACAGTGTTATAGTATTATTAACACTAATAGTTTTTTATTTTCCACCATTTTGATTTCACCATTAGCAGGCCCATTTCTAGAACATTATGGTCTTCTTCAAGCTCTAGTAGTAGCGGAACAGCAAGGAAAAGTGTAACCTTTGAGAGGAATTCACCAGTGGAGACCAAGGTAATTTTTTCTCTTCACTGTTGATAGTCAGTATAGAAAAGTGGTTGGTCAGGTGGTTATTCATCATGTTATGTGCTGTCTGGGTTACATGTATTTTGTTTTTAATATTTACTGGAAACAAATAATCCAAACAGAACATAATATAACTTGTTTTAGTGGAGTGCTTATAAACTAGCTGAGAAAGCTACATAAAATCCACTATAACTTATAATTAAAGCTTTACGTTTTTATGTGGTACTTTTGAAGTAATTTGTGCTAATCAGATAGGGAAGGACCAAAATTATTATTTTTATGGCAGTACAAACGTCTGGGTGCCCAGAGTAAAAATTAAAAGCTTTGGCTGAGCGGCAAACCGTAACCAGCCGCAGCATCGACTAAAATTTGTGGTAACAATTACACAATAATTTGCGCACAAACAAAAAAAAACCTGGTTAAAAATGATTTGATAAGAGTGTCATAAAAAAAAAAAGTAAATAAATAAAATCCTAAAAGCTTTATGGACGTCTTAATAATTAAAATAAAAATGTTCGTAAGGTGAAAACCATCGTTCATATGGGTGTCCATTTTATTATGGGAATTTCTAAGGCATGTAATAAAATTTCAATAATGTACAAGATTAAGATCTGTTAAAATAGGTGTCCAAAATTCCTGTAGATATCTAAGTGCTCAGCTTGAACATTCTAGCAATGTGTAATGAACTAGACAGGATTGCCTTTTGCATCTGGTGCATAATTGATTCACACTTGTCTCCTACAAGCTCTTTAATATTTTTCTCAACCTCTTTCAAACAGCCCCCAAGTACATCCATGATGATGTTACACTGATTGACCTTGTACTCAGGATATCGGTTCGTCAGCTCTAGTCGCAGTTGACTGTACTTCGTTGTCTTCTCAAAATCTTTAGACTCTCTATTTTCCAGCCATGGACAGCTCATTTCAATCACTCTGACTTGCTTACTGGTCTTGTCAATGACCATGGCATCGATTCTATTAGCTTTTACTTGAGTTGTGTCAGCGAATAATGGGACGTCCCAGAGGGCGGTCACATGCTTATTCTCATACAGCGGCTTTTGTGTGACTTGTGAGAACCACGGTTATTATTGTTGTTGTTATTATTGTTATTATTATTATTATTATTATGTTTAAACAAATTTATAGCTTACGCAAAAAATATTGTTGTATGAGGTTTTTTACTTACTTACAATGTGCCTTTTGTTATTTTTACTAAAATAAAATGTGCAAATTTGCAATAATTACTCGTACATATATCCCTTTCCTTCCTTTCCAGGCAGATTACTTCTTTGGTGAGAATACTGGAGGCTCTGGAATGTACAAGAGAATTATCAGGTTTGTAGATTCTATCACGAGTATTCGAGTCATGAGTGATTTCAACATGTCAACATCAAGAGTTATCCACTACAGTATCAAAGGCAAAGGCCAGGGACTGGAACAAGTCTTTCACACATACTGATCATCCTGCTGCTGGAGCAGTTGGCCAAGAGGGTTTGGCAAACTACCTGCAAATCCCAGTCCTCATTCCTGAATATTTACCGTGAAGTTCAGAAAGTAATGACCCCTCAAAAGTAGCAAACCTCTGAACGTAGCAATAAAATGTCACAGGTGTGAATAGCAAATCCCGAAAGTAGCGACCCTCCCTCCGAAAATAACTATGTACCCTCCAAAAATAGTCCCCTCAAAACTAATTTCCTTTCCTGCAAAAAACAACGGATATGATAGATATTCTGACCAAATGCCACACTAATCAAACATTCCTATTCATAACTCTTAAAGTACAGGATATACATTACATTTGTACCTTTTCTAAAAAAGTATTCCTTTCACATTTTGTGCGATTTTATTTTTTGAATTGCCCATGTGAAGTACACGTTTTAGCCATCCAAAAGTAACAACCCCCTGAAAGTAGTGAGCCTCTGAAAGTAGTGATAGCAGAAGGGTGCTAAATCCGAAAGTAGCATCACGAGGGTCATTAGTTTTGAAACTTTACGGTACTTCTTTCTCAGTGAGTTCTAGTCCTCACTCCTGCTTGTTCTCTTTATGGTCAGAATAAAAAGTGTGGCACAGGTGTTTCTCCACTTGTGAGATCTCTTACAAAGAAATGTTCTTTTGATTGTTCTTCTATGTGACCAGAAGCCCTATCTTACAATGTAGATGGTTTTCATATCCAGTATAGTATTAGCCTGTTCCAGGCTCCGAGATAGTGGTGAAAAGTCGTTCAGTAAAAAGAAATGAGAAAAACGCGTGGGGGCTGGGGAGAGACATTTTTCTCGCCGCCACCTTCCCCTTTCCCAAGTCGCACGGGTCTTATTTTCGCTTTGCTTGTTTTAATACATCCACACTATACTATCTGAGAGCCTGGCACAGGCTGGTATAGTGTGAGTGTAGCCTGAGACAACTGGGGCTGAAACCGATTATTCATTCTCACTTCCTTCTTTACTCCCTTGGCTCTGCAACATTAAATTCATATGCTTGATGAAATTCCATGGTACAATCATTTCTTCGTTGTTTTTTTAAAAAAAAAAACTGGAATCTGCCATAAGTATTTGTAAGGAATAATAGAGAGGAGAAGCCAAATGGTAGCCAAATGTCTGGATCACAACAATAGGGAGTTTTTGCACCAGCAAAAAAAGCAATAGGTTTAGATTGGCATAAGAACAACTTTGCAGGTGCATTTCGTAGCCTTTGTTGGACGACTGCGACGTGAAACTTCCTAGTTTCACTCGCCCGCTTTATTGAGTAGGTGAGCACAACTGAAAAATTTTTTTTTTGAAACTTAGATATGGTCCTTTCGGATTCAACCCAGAAAATTTTGCCAACATTTGACAAATTAGATGAAATTAAATAAGATCGATGGGGTTTGAAACAGTGCGATTCCACTTTTTAAGTGACGTTTTGATTTGTTGTCATCCCAAAATTTTGCTACAAAAGTGATGTAATGACTTCTCCTCTCTATTAGTCAATGTCCTGTTTCTCGAATTCTAGTAAAAACATCATTGCAGTTGTTATTATTACACTGTATTTTTTGGCTCTGGCGGGACTATTTATTCAGATAATCTGTTTTGTTTTTACTATTAGCCGCTGCAGTGGAAACTCACGTTTTCCAAGAGTAGAAGACATGCCTCATTTCCACTATGACTTTGTTGATCTTGGTGAAGATATACAAGTAAGCTTAACTTGTTTTAAACTATTTATAATGTCAATAGCACTGAGTGGAGTCCAATTGATCATACAAGTGATAAACAAAATCCGATTCGTTTAATCACAAGACAGTATGATTTCAGACCGAATTGGACAACACAAAGTTGTGTGACCAATTACATTGTAGTCATAGCTATAACAAAATTTGCAGTGTTCTAAGCTTTTTTAAAGTTAAAACACAAGATATTCCAAGAGTTTTTGCCAGCAGTGAAAAAAAAAACATTCAAATGCATGCACGTGATGGCGTGACTGTCCAATAGCTCAGGCATGACAGTGCTGTCCTATCAGTGCTGAAATCAGAACAGCTGATAGCCAATGAGATTTGAGAATTTTGTTATGTTTATGAATAATAATTGTGAAATAACTGTTAGCATGAATCTTTTACAAACAACTCCTCTTACATGAGCTGGACTTCCCTCTCAAACAACCACCCACTCTCCAGTTTAGAAGAAACTTTCTAGACCTTTTACAGCTATAAATTCCAGTAAAGTCAGTGAAATCTTGTCTCATTACCTAATTCCCACATTCTTGACCATTTTACAACAAAAGCAAAGGAGGAAAAAAAGAGGAAAGGGAGGAGAAATGGAAAGAATGAGAGAAGAAGGGAAGATGATGTAACAAGAAATTGCTTACTCTATCTTTATCTCAAAATTGTTCTTTCTTCAAGCATTGCAAACCTGAAAAGCTGTATTCTACATTATGTAACAATAGGAAAGAAATGGAGCACAGTTTTCAAATTGTACGCAAAGACCTGCCTATATTTTTTCCTTTTTTTTCAGTGATGGCCGGAATATTATAGGTTTACACATAGCCGTAGTTGCTGCCTGCAGTGTAGGCGTATTTGGGCGGCGAAAGCTTATTCATCTTTGTATTTTTGTAGCTACCATCTTTGATTTTATGATAAAGGAAGATTGGGAGACGCCCCATTTCCTCCTCTGTTTTGGAGTTTCAACATGGCACTTTCGCGAGCAAAAACCTTTGCCTGCCCAAAGAAAACTCTTGCACTGCAGGCTAGTTTACACAGTGTATATATGAAGCTTTGAACAGCATTTTTCAGCAAAAAGTCTAGAGGCCAATGGGTTCCTCTTTCCCTCTCCCGGCTCCCTATCCATCATGGTGATGAAATCAACCAGTGTGAGATTCCAAAGCTCGAAACTCCCCACACTGTCAAGTTAAGGTCAAAGCCAACTCAAAATTCAGGGGATAGATCAAGTTTCTTTCCGTACGTTTTCTAAGTTGGCTGGTCTGGTTTTTGCCAACATTGACGGATTGTCAACGTTACATTTTTTTGACATTGAGGAAGTGTAAGACGGTCATTAAAATTCTTGGTTTGGTTTTATCACTTTCCATAGTTTAGTCTCTATGAAGGAAAAGGAGGTGAAAAACGCTACTATAACGGACACTCTGTGGAGGAAGGTATTCTTTTGGTAAGTTGATGCTGTAATATTACAAGAGCTCGGCAAGATAAGACAAGAACTTTATTTATACTACACACAGGAAAGAAACATTGAAGAAACCACCATTTTCAGTTGTTGATCCAATATGTGGAAAACAAATAGATGTTTAGTTTTCAGTTTTGTATAAAACGCGGACTATTTTGATTTCTTGAATTTTGAGTTGTAACCCTCACTAAAATAACATACATCTCAGAGAAGTACCGTATCTGCTTGATAGGGAGTCAGCGAAAGGAATTTAACAAAGAGCACGCTAAAGGACCAACCTGATACATGTGTCTAGGCTGGCGTCCTTTAGGAAGTGTTGGTAAACCCTTTCACTTCTAAAATTGGCCAAAGGAAAAAAATACCAAAAGTAATAATTTTTTGTTAAAGCCTAAAAAATAAATAGTACCATGTGAAAGTGCTGCTGAAGAGGTTTCATTTGAATGGTTACACGATAGGATTTCATCCACAGACTCAAAAGTTAAAACTACATACTAAATAAATAGTACCATGTGAAAGTGCTGCTGAAGAGGTTTCATTTGAATGGTAACACCATAGGATTCCATCCACAGATTTAAAAGTTAGAGCGTTACTGCCACAAATAATAACGCTATAACGTTGTCTGGAGAGGGCGTACCATGGTTTTGTAGGATCTTATTCTCCTAATGAACCACTATCTAAGAAATATTGACATTGCTAAACATGTGTCTTTTCAAAGAATTTAAACGTAACTTTGCAAACTTGATGAATCATGAAAAAAAAAACTTACAGAAGGGAATGACCGGGTAAAAATAGCAGCTCTAAGCGAAAAAAAAATTTCTCAAAGAAGGCAAGTGAGGGGAAAGCCTGTCCAAGTTTGTATCTGGTTGAACAGTTTGTTACGAGGTGTGATGAAGGTTGTAAAAAGAAATCTTCATCTGAAAAAAATCTCCGTTGAAAAACATAAAGAGATCGAAAGTGAAGAGAGGATTAAAAAGATACAAGGTCGGGAAAAAAAATTAATCGTTTCCAAGTTATGGAAGAGTCAAAATGAGAATTGTTTCTTTTAAACGCCCTTTTGTCAAACTTTATGATATCTTGTGTTGGCACTGATTATATGCACCGGTACGAAAGTCGCACCCATTATCAGTTCCTTAATTCGGGTTCGAAACAGCACGTGGCAGTGAATATTCGAAACTCTTTGACTTAGGACTGGAACTAACACGCAGTCGAAGCTCGTTTGGGGAAATATGAAAAAAAAATATCTTTATTTCCTATTAGCCTCGATTTCAAGCTAGTTCCAGTTCGTTGCCAACATACTGAAGAATATGACCCATTATTGACTTATTAACAGCAGTTATATTGGACTCGATATTTTTGCTTATTACATCCCAGACAATAAAATGGCCATCCACAAGAGAATCATTTTCAAACGTAATAACTCGGTTAATTGTTTTGTTTCGTCTTCAGAGGCTTGCCTCCATTAAGTTCCTAAGAATTCAATATCGCCGAGCTCATTTTGCCGCCCACATGCATTGCCTTGTTGTTCTGCAGTGAAAAGAGAATTCTACATCCTAGTTTTTCTTCGCTGTACAACCATTTTCAGTGTTATTTTTAAATCTTAACGCAGGTCAACGTTATCTGTCGCGGAAAGTCGTGGATACTCACGCGAAGCATCGATAATTTTCGATTACTGGACCGGGAACTTCACAGGTATGGCATAATATTTTTATTCTAAAGTTCTCTATATCTTATCCTTTCCTCAGCTCTTTGTCGTGGAGTGGCCTAAGTTTTATAATTTTTATTTTATATCAGGAAAGTGCCCCGCAATGTTTAATTTTAGCAGTCGTACTTGGCGATTTCTTCCGTAGAAATAAGGTGAAATGATAAGTAGCGTGGTAATGGGGCATTTGGTTGCGTAAGACTCTATAGCTTTCGTTTGAAAAGTCACGCTTTAAGATTTTAAACCTTAAATTAAATATTAATAGTCGCTGCCTTTATCAAAACAACGACCGGCGAAATACACTTTGACATGAGTAAACTTCACGAACATCAGAAAATTTTTATCAAAAACGAGATTTTTTTGCAAGGTGGTAGCAACCGTTCGAGTAAAAGCGACAAAGTATTGATGATAATTATAGTTTCAACAACAGTAGTTATAAAATAATTTCGTTTTGTTATTTTATTACTAAATCCATAACTCAGGCAAGCATGACAAGAAATTTGCCAAACAGATCGCCGGAAAAGAAGCGAAAGCAAGCGAGATGTCTTTTACATTTACATTTGAGCATGGGCTCTGTGGAATTTTTTTGGAAATTGAACAGTCGTCTGCTCGGAAAGGCCTTCTCGTTGATAAAAACAGCTTTAAAAGAACTACTGAGCCGTATGCTTTCCCTGCATGGCATAGTTATGTGCTTCAGTTAAGTTTTTTAATGTTCAAACGACAAGTTACTTTTTGGATGAAAATCGCGGAAGTGAAACTTTCTCGTTTTGTTGTCATTTATACTTCACGGGCTTCTTCTCAATTTTGCGTCCGAATACGAAACCAAGGTATGAGTCGATTTTTCTGGTGTCATGTTTGTTTGTTTATAATTTATACAAGCGAAATGAAACTAAATTCTTGTATCAGTTGACTGAGTTCTGTTTTATTTTCCAACCGTGTCGCTGTTTAGTTCTGTAATGCTAGAAAAATGAACGAGAATATTTCTCGTTCGCTTTGTCATTCAAAGCCATGACACTCATTCTGTGGAGCTTAGAAGCTCTCAGTTTAATGCCGTCTTATGAATAAATATCACTGTTAGCTAGTATAGTGACACAATATTTTATAGATTAATATAGGAAGGCAAACGTTGCACTTAGAAACTCAAATTTGCGTGGAATTTTCTAACAACAGTCGTCGTCTCTCTTCGGCGGCAAAATAATAAATTCGTAAAGAAAACAAATGGCAATATCGTGATTGCTCACTCAAACGTGAGGGGAGGTTAATATACGTCCTTACTGACACACTTTCTAATTAACTATGAATTTCAATTTGACATTTTTGTCAGGAAAGTTTCACTTATTTCGCGTGACTTTTTTTAGTTAACTCCAAAGTACGTAATATATGACTGGGTGAACTTAAAGAATCTGGGGGAAAAATGATTTCCTACGCTAAATGTTTACCTTCCGTGCCTGGACGGGGGTGAGGTAAAAAGAATTTTTGTGTTCTTTTTAAAATCACGGAAACTAATAAGTACATTTACATGTAGAGATAAAATCTTAAATACGGTAATACTTTATTTTTGTCCATGTTTCGGCTTTGTTTTGAAGCAGATTTTGGGATCGTTGTGGTAGCCCAAGCAAAGACCTTGAAATGGATATACTCCTTCCCTGTTTATTGCTTTATATTCGATACTGTCGGAGTGCTGGCGAGCTACTCGGTTAAGTCGCTCAAATTAAAGTCATTTCGCGCCGATTAAAACGTTGCCGCACGCGCCTATAGCGGAGTCATTAGAGAGTTTAAGCTTCACTTATACGGCAAACGGCAAACGTCAGATTCAAGTTGAGAATTTCTCAAAATAGAAAATGAGCAGATAAAAACAGCTCAAAACAATTCTTATGGATGAAAAATTACGTGAAATTACTAATTTAGGTGTAGAAATAATCAACAGTAAACGACAAGTAAAGAGGTAACTTGGTCACGCGGTGTAAATACGCGTTTGCCGTTTGACGTAAACGTGATGCGTAATCTTTCTATTAGGACGTGTAAGCAACTGCGAGGGCGAAAACAATAGTAAGCCGGTTGAAATGTCCAAAAACAAGTGGTTTTGTGTGCAAGACAACAACTCTGCACGTGCATCTGTATGTTTCACTCAATTTCGTGGCAGTT